CTCACCCCACCCGCCCACCCACAGCCACAGCCCCAAGCCCAGGACTGGCTCACAAGGGGGCTCTTTGTTATTCCATAGGGAGATCCAGGCATTGAAGGCCCCATCGGATTCCCAGGACCCAAGGTGAGTTGCCCTCAGCCAGAGGGCTGGGCTCAGCCTCATGGCCCCAGCATTGTCTGGGGTGAGCTCCCCCCATCCCTGCCTCTGCCTCCAGCCCACCTGCCCCTGCCCTGTCACCAAGGAAGAAAAGCACCTTGATTGCTGGAAGGTCATTCCAAAACCCAGTGTCAGCCTGACCCCTGGCCCAGCCTCCTCCACAGACTCTTTAGAATCCCGGTTGCCAGAGACACCACGGGCCCTGCCTGTTGTGTCCCAGCAGGGCTTGTCTAATTCCCTGCTGTTTTCTTCTGTCCCCAGGGTGTTCCTGGCTTCAAAGGAGAGAAGGTGAGTCTCCTCCTGAACAGACAGCAGCATCCACTGAAGCCCATTGATCACTCTGGAGGCACAGGCCTGGGCTTTTCTTGGTGGTGACTTTAGGGGTCCTGGGGGCCCCTCAGGCTGCAAACTTGGCCCGAGGGCCATGCTTGTGGCCCAGAAACAGGATGTCCATGGTGCTGAGAGGCACTGTACTAATGACCTTGCTTTCCTCCTGCACAGGGTGAATTTGGAGCCGATGGTCGCAAGGTAGGTGGGCTGGCCTGGTGAAGTCCCACCGTTCTGCTGCTCAGAGGGCACAGGAATTGAGCTTCATGGGCTCCCCTTTTCCTTCTTTCTCCAGGGAGCTCCTGGTCTGGCTGGCAAGAACGGGACCGATGGACAGAAGGTAGAGTGGGGCCGGGCATGTCACTGGGCCTGGTCTCACGGGGACATCCCACCTGCCCAGCAAGGCCCCCAGATCTCACCTGACTTGGTGGTTTTATATACACATGTGCACACATGCAAACACACATGATATAGAGCACTCTATGCTCTCGTGCCCAGTCATTTCCCAGAGAATCATACTACCTCCGGAGATGGCGCCATGACATCTGGGGAATCACATGCTCACTCGTCTGCTGAACAAGAGCACCACAGCTACACTGCAGAAGTGGCCTGGACCGTGCCTTGGCCACTGCACATGCCAACCCCAGAGTCTCCCACCCTGATGCCTCTTCCACCCCTGCTTCTCTTCCAGGGCAAGCTGGGACGCATCGGGCCTCCTGGCTGCAAGGGAGACCCCGGAGATCGGGTAAGTGTGGCCTTGTGTTCTTCATTTAGACTTCGGCTCTTGGGCTCTAAGGTGCCAGGCCTGGTGGGTAGGCGGGCTGCTGCTGCCACAGAACTTGGGCATCACTAAAGCCAGGTTCTCCCTGCAGCCCAGCCCCTCCATGCCTGTCCCTGACCTTGGCCCCAGGATCAGCTGTAGTCAGGTTCACAGAATGGAACACCCACAAATGCTTCTGGGTTACCTGCCAGCCCCAGTATTGGGGACACCCAGAGCTACTCCATGTGTGCTGGGCTCACCTCTCATCCCTCTTTCTCAGGGCCCTGATGGTTACCCGGGAGATGCAGGAAGCCCAGGGGAGCGAGGAGACCAGGGTTCCAAGGTAGGTAGTTGACCCAGGTGTGGGCTTGCAGGGCAGGCTTGATCACCCCTTTCCAGAGGACCTGGGATTCTCCTGCCCAGGCCTTGCCAACTTGTGGTTAACGCTCTGCTTATTGGCTTCACAGCAGCCCAAATGGGCATCAGCAACAACCCACGCTCCTCCCAGTTGCAGTCATGGGGAGCCCCACTCAGCCAGGTTTTTTGTGGGAAGATCCTTGTGCTGCTGGGCTCTGTCCTCTCAGGCCACTTGCAGGGTCATGTTGTCCCTGACTGCCCAGGAGCCCCGAGGGCCTTCCCCTGGGAGCCTGGTGCTCAGACCTGGGACTGCACACTTCCTGCCTGCCCCGCCAGACCACAAGTCAGAGTCTGACTGAGTTCCCTGTGCAGATGCACAGAGATCTCACCCCACAGCAGCTGGGCTCCAGGCTGGCACTGAGGTTCTATTAGCTGCTTGCCGAGCCTGCCCACTGCTGGGCATCCTGACTAGAGACATGAGGTTGATTTCTGCAAACCCTTCCAGGGGGATCCTGGCCGCCCAGGACGAAGAGGACCCCCAGGAGAGAGTGGGGCTAAAGGAAGCAAGGTGAGCTCCTACACTGTCATCTACCCAAGCCCAGCCATGCTCACTACCCACACAGAGGATGGACTGCCATGCTGACTGCCGGTCTATGCTCTCACCAGAAGTGCCTTGCTGGGCTGCAGAACATGGGAAGGGATGGGAAGGATGCGCTAGGTGCCCTGAGCCTGCAGCCAACTTCTCTGACTAGACACCTCACAAGCTTCTCCTGAGCATGAGGGGACATGGCAGGCACCCCCTTGCGCCGAGGCAGCCCTCCTGGCAGGCAGTGGGGGCTACACTGCATAGTCGACTGGGCATAGCCATTTCCTGTGGCCCCATGTCAGGTCCCTGTGGCCACCTCCAATGTTTTCTCTCTTTTCAGGGTTATCAAGGCAACAACGGAGCCCCAGGAACTCCCGGTGTGAAAGGCGCCAAGGGCGGGCCTGGGCCCCGCGGACCTAAAGGCGAACCTGTGAGTTCATGCTAGCCCTACAAACCTGGGAATCCAGAGCCCCTTCAGCCTGCACAGCCACCACATCAGTATCCCCATTGCAGTTCAAGGAAGGGCCATTGATGAGTGGCAGGTGGGGTTACAGGTGGGACCCTGTGTTGACCGGGTGCAGCCAGACCCTGCACTCTGAAGTGGTTCTTACAGAATGCCCCAAGAGCTAAGGGTGAGGCACATATATGGATCCCACAGAGTCCTAAGTCCACCACCACTGCCCCAGCATGCTTCTGCAAGGTGACAGGCCATCTCAGGGGTGATGCTCCAAGGGGACATGGTCCCAAGACGAGGCCTGGCCTGGAAGTAACAGAAGTGACCACAGGCCCATCACATCACCTAAAGCAGGACCCATCTGAACTCACGACCGGACCAGGACCCATCCTTCCTAAATCCTGGGCTGAGGAAAACTGAACCAGCAGAGGACAAGGGCTTGGAGCAGAGCCCAGGGGTGCAGGTTGAGGCTTCCAGAAGGAGCCTAGGACTGCGGTCCCCAGACCCCAAAGCTAGAGTCCTCCTGGGGAGGACAGAGCATCATGCCCCCGAGTGGATGGCACAGCCCCCCTCCTTCCAGGGGTTTCCAAGGGCTGTGGGAGCAGCCCCCACACAACAACATGCCTATTCTTTGCAGGGACGCAGGGGAGACCCTGGAACCAAAGGCAGCTCAGGCAACGACGGCCCCAAGGGGGAGAAGGTGGGTCATTGTATGGACGGGCCATGGGGTGGGTGGAGCCACCACTGTGTCTGCGTCTGCACTGGGATTGCACTGTTTTTCCACCAGGACAATTTAGCCTTAGTTCAGCTGGAACAACAGCAGCTCCAGGTCTCACACCCAAGGGGAGATTCCTGCACAGTCTGAGAAAGTGGGGGGCAGATGGGGAGACTCCCCACTCCAGTTCATCTCATGCATGCTATGACAGCTGTGCAGGCTGTGCACTGCCTAACCCATGACAAACACAGAGGCCTGGTGGCTGTCGCAGCCCTCAAAGATGGTGCTAGAGGGGCCTGTGGCAAAACCCACTGCCACCAGCTTCCCACAAGACAGGGGTGAGGGGCTTTCTTCTCACAGAGGTGGGCAGGTCTCTACCCACTCTGGAAGTGACCTCTGTGGGACTATGAGGCGGGGTGAGTGGAGCCTCAGCCACAGGTTGTGAGAAGGGGCTGTACCACGTCACTCACAACCCAACCCTCACCCTACACACCTCCAGTCACACCCACCTCTTGGATGAGACCAAATTGGGCCTCTCTTTCCACAGGGGGACCCTGGCCCTGAAGGATCTCGTGGCCTGGCTGGAGAAGTCGGTAACAAAGGAGCCAAGGTATGTGGAAGGGGTGGTGGGGGCACCCAGGACCCAGCCTGTCCCTCCCCTGCCTGTGCCCCTCCTCTATCCAGCAAGCCCCTCCAGGCCTGGGGGGTCAGGACAGAGCCAGGGCCTCCTGGAGGGCCACAGGGGCCCATGCAGACCTCAAAACTAGATCCTATGATGTCCACAGGATTGAAGTGGGATCTCCGAGGTGCTACCACCAGTCAAAAGGACCCCAATCTCATCTCTTTCTTTCCAGGGAGACCGAGGCCTTCCTGGACCCAGAGGTCCCCAGGGGTCTCCTGGGGAGCCCGGAAACCAGGTCAGTGGCAGGACGTGGTTCAGGGCCCCGTATCCTCCCACCTCATGATCCACCCACCCCATGGCACCACATGGGTTCCCTGTCTGTGGGTCGGACAGGCTGGTGATGGCCACTGTCTCCATGGCTAACTCAGGCAGAGGGACTGGGGTTGGAAGCCAGGACTTGTCCCCCTCCATATATCACCTCTACCCCAGCCCCGGTGCCCTGAAGGACCCAGGTGAGGATGTGGAGGAGGTAAGAGGCCTGTGAAGAGGAGGAACTGGGTCACTCAGGCCCTCCAGATGCGGAGTCCCTAGCCCCCACGGGCAGCACGAGGGCAATGTAGTCTGATGGTCAGAGCTGGGCTGGGCATGCCAGACAATGCTGGGCATGGGTCGGTCCCCATCAGTGCCAACTCTCCGATTTCTTTCCTGTCCTCAGGGATCTCGGGGAGACCCTGGTGATGCTGGACCCCGTGGAGACTCAGGACAGCCAGGCCCCAAGGTACTCACCTCCCCACCCAGCAGGATGGATGAGTGCAGGGCGGCTGCCCACAGAAGCAGCCAAGAGAAAGGGTGGGGGTGCAAGCTGGGGACCCTGCTACCTCCCATGGGCCTCAGGCTGGGCCTAAGCCTGCTGTTTGAGGCTATAGAGTGAGGCTGGGAGTGGACCCGGCCTCCTGGGAGGACATGGCAGGGAACAGATGTCCTCCTCACCCCCCTCCTTCAACAGACCCTCAGGTGTGGGGTTGCGCATCCTCCCACAGTGGGGCTCTGGGGGTGACTAGCCACAAAGGCACAATATGGTCTAAGCATCATCCTCTCTACATGTGAGTGGCTTCTGGGCCTCTCAAGATATGAAGCCCTACCCAGAGGGGATCAGGGCTGGGCTGACCCTGAGGCCCTCCCTGCTCACAGCCTACCCCAGGCAGCACCTTTCCCTCACATCCACTCCAAGACCCCCCTCAGCCTTGTTGGGTATAGCCCACCCCACCCCCAGTTTACACCTACTGACTTAGCCTCCTCCTCCAGGGAGACCCCGGCAGGCCTGGATTCAGCTACCCAGGACCCCGAGGAGCTCCCGTGAGTCATGGCGTGGGATGGGAGTTATGGGAGCAGGGAAGACATTATCAGGAGGGTCCTAGAGGCTGCTAGTAACTCCCTCGAGGCCCCCTCTGCCCAAGAAGGTATGAGGCCCCTCCTGGGGGACTGCGGTGGGGGTGAGGATGGCGCAGAGTCACCTGATAAAGGCACATCCAGCCAGGCACCAGGAGACGCAGCAAGGACAGCATCTCGGCCCAGCCCACTGACAGGAGCAGGGTGCAGCCAGAACACAGTATGGTCCCTGCCAAACTGTACACGAGCTCTATATGAGTTCTGACAACCAAGACCATCCCAAGGAAAGGATCTTGGGTACAGAAAACTGCTGGCTTCCAAGGCCAGAATGCTGGGCTCCAAGGCCAAGTCACCTTGACCTTTGTTTGCTTCACAGGGAGAGAAAGGCGAACCTGGCCCACGTGGCCCTGAGGTATGTGGGGCCCTGTCATGTTCAGGCCCTTTTCTGCTCCCACTCAGGTTGGGGGGGTCTACTGCCCCCCTGCTGTGGCCAGGAAGCCATCACAGGCTGGTCCCTGTTCCCCAAGGCTGGATCACACAACCTCTGCTGAGCTCTGGGTGGAGGCCCCCCAACCCACAAGTCGAGATTTGCCTGGAAACCATGTAAACGTTTCCATTTAGCAGACCCTGAGTCCCCAGACATGTATTTCCTGATCAGAATCTCACCCATGCCCCTGGAAGGCTGTAGAGGGTCTTGGAGGGGAGAGAGAGGTGGCCTGCCTTGGACTAATGCTTGTCCTGGGTCACAGGGAGGCCGAGGAGACTTTGGCATGAAAGGAGGACCCGGGAGCAAAGGAGAGAAGGGAGAACCTGTGAGTTGTGTCCAAAGCCTGGGAGTGGGGGTAGGGGGCAGAGAGGGTCCTGGAGATGGGGCATGTGCATGGCAGGGAGCCAGGTGGCCTGGCCCTGCCCTGAGCACCCCCCAGTACAAGATAAAGGATGGACTGTGATAGACAGATGGATGTTAGATGGACAGGCGCTTGAGAAGGGCTGGGCAGGTGGGTAGATGGGAGAGTAGGTGGGAGGATGATGGGTGGGTGCAGGTTGGGGTGGGGAGGTGAGTAAGTATGTAAGGGTGGATGGACCAGCTGTGGGTCAAGGATGCTGTTCAGCCACCATCCCTGGTTGTCCCTGTGCCTCTACTGGCCCCACTGTTCCCAGGCCAGGTTCTAACAGTGGCACATGGGTGAGGGAGCATGGGGCCACATAGAGTAGTCATTGAGGCCTACCTGCCCTTATTTCTTTTCAGGCAGATCCTGGTCCCCCTGGTGAGCCAGGCCCTCGGGGGCCAAGAGGAGTCCCAGGACCTGAGGTAGGCAGAGGCCGGGCCCTGTGACCCGACTTCAGTACAAGACAGGCAGGCCAGCACACACCCAGGCCTCTTAGCCTTGGGGAAGTGGGTGGTGGACGCTGACAATCCTTTCATCTCACCATAATCCTTCCTCCCCCAGGGTGATCCTGGTCCCCCTGGAGACCCTGGCCTCACGGTAGGTGTTACTTGGGGTGGAACCAGCATCCCTGTCTGAAACATCTCCACCCTCCTAAAACTCAGAAACCAAGAGCAGCAAGGGAAGGGGAGGGTCGGCAGAGGGGTTGGAGGGCAAGGTCAGCTGGGAAGGTCATCAGGGGAGGTCACAGAGCAAAGTCAACAGGGAGAGGTCAGAAAACAAGGTTGGCAGGGAGAGGTCAGAGGGCAAGGTCAGCAGGGAAGGTCACAGTAAGATCAGCAGGGAGAGGTCAGAGAACAAAGTCGGCAGGGGAGGTCAGAGGGCAAGGTCAGCAGGGAGGTCATGGAGCAAAGTCAGCAAGGAAAGGTCAGAGAACAAAGCAGCAGGGAGAGGCCAGAAGGCAGGACCAGCAGGGAGAGTTCACAGAGCAAAGTCAGCAGGGAGAGGACAAGGTTGGCAGGGAGAGGTCAGAGAGCAAAGGTGGCAGAAAGAGGTCAGAGGGCAAGATCAGTGGGGATAAAACTCCATCAGGTGGCTGGTCTTGGGCCCCATGAGGGATCTGCACCTTGGGTTGACATGTGTGTTGCAGGAATGTGACGTCATGACCTATGTGAGGGAGACCTGTGGCTGCTGCGGTGAGTCGCCACTCATGGGGTCAGGCCCATGCAGCACTCATAGAGGGGCAGGGGTGCAGCAGGGCAGGTCATCACTGAGTCTGCGCCACACACTGGGCTCTGGGGTATGGGGTCTCCAGCTCCCAGCTCCTACCCACTGACTGCCACCCCACAGACTGCGAGAAACGCTGTGGTGCTCTGGATGTGGTCTTCGTCATCGACAGCTCTGAGAGCATAGGCTACACCAACTTCACCCTGGAGAAGAACTTCGTCATCAACGTAGTCAACAGGCTAGGGGCCATCGCCAAGGACCCCAAGTCAGAGACAGGTCAGTGTGGGTGCAGTGAGAGGCCTGTCCAGGTGGGCAGGACGCACAGAAGTCCAGACTCATTCCTGATGGAGTGTTGTAGCCTGGCTGGGGCACCCTAAGGACCCTCACACTTTGTGACTTGCAGGGACACGTGTTGGCGTGGTGCAGTACAGCCACGAAGGCACCTTCGAGGCCATCCAGTTGGACGATGAGCGCATCAACTCCCTGTCCAGCTTCAAAGAGGCTGTCAAGAACCTGGAGTGGATCGCGGGTGGCACCTGGACACCTTCCGCCCTCAAGTTTGCCTATGATCGGCTTATCAAGGAGAGCCGGCGTCAGAAGACCCGTGTGTTTGCTGTGGTCATCACAGATGGGCGCCATGACCCACGTGATGATGACCTCAATCTGCGGGCACTGTGTGACCGTGATGTCACAGTGACAGCCATCGGCATCGGTGACATGTTCCACGAGAAGCATGAGAGCGAGAATCTCTACTCCATCGCCTGCGACAAGCCACAGCAAGTGCGCAACATGACACTCTTTTCCGACCTGGTGGCTGAGAAGTTCATCGATGACATGGAGGATGTCCTCTGCCCGGGTGAGCTGTGGGGAGCTGTGTAGGCAGGTTGCCAGAAGGGCTCGGGGTGCGGGCATACAGGCCCAGGAGCAGTGCACCCTCCTGCCACCAACCAGTGAGCCCAGGGCCCCTTGTCTGAGGTATCTCAGACAGGGAGGGGGCATTTTGGGGTGGGCAGAGTCAGGTCAGCAGGTAGCAGGAACTGACCATGGCCCTGGCCTTTTCTCTTTTTTAGACCCTCAGATCGTGTGCCCAGACCTCCCCTGCCAAACAGGTAATGTGGGCACCCCCAAGTCCCCAGTCTAGCAGAGCCAGCAGCGTCCTTCCTCCCCAGGGGCCAGGGCTGGGTAGATTGGCTATGTGGGGACCTCAAGGCCATGCCACTGTGAAGGCCGCTCCTTAGATGTCCCCAGGACCCTGGCACAGCTAAGGAGGGCCCTGGGGAAGGGCACCTCCCAGGGGCATGTGGATAGCATCTTGAGTCCCTCCCACCTGGCACCTTGGGGTGGGGGGCACTACCAGCCTCACATGGTGCTTAACTTATGGCCACTGGTCTTGAAAGCCAGTCCATGGGCTTTGCGATCTCCACACCACCTGGGAGGGACAGATGGGCTGCATCTCCCACAGCCAACTGTGCATTCACTACTTGGGAGGAAGCCCTGGATTCAGGAAATAAAATGACTGGTTTAGAACCACCCGGGAGGCAAGTACACCAACACCCATGTGGTGGCCAACCATTGCTTGCCTCCAGCTCTGTCAGCCTCAGAGCTGCCACAACTGCCATTCCTAGGAGTGGGGCAGCTTGCTCATGGCAGCCTGTGTCTCCTGATTTAGCTGTATCTGTGATCCATGTGGCTGTGGGGCTGGAGCTAGGGGTGCACCAGAGAGGTTCCACTGGGGCTGGGTAAGGGGACTGTTCATGCTCTGATACACCATGGCTGCTGCTTCCATGGTCACCACTCCCATGGTCACCACTGCCTAGACCCAGAGGAGATGATTGGGCGTTGGGAGCCAAGGGCATTGACAGCCAGCCCTGTTTCTTCCCAGGAATGTTGAGTTTGGAACCCTGGAGTAGGATCTAGGAGATGGGAATGCCATGGAGATGGGGTGGAGGGTCCAACCCGAGGACTGTGATCAGGACACCTTGGGATCGGCACTCTGTATGGGGCTTACCGTGGGAAGTCACCACATCCCCAGAACACACAAGGGCAGGATGTGTGCCCAGGTGCTGTGCAGAGAGGTCCTCATTGGACAGGGTAGGCCCCAGGCACATTCACAGGCCCTGTGATGCCAAGGGAGAGAGATGTTTGAATTTGGGTTGGGGTCCCCAAACACACTCTGGCAGGGACCTTTCCCAAGGACAGGCTCCCAAAGACAAAGCCGTGTCTTGCTCTTAGCCCCAGGTTGGCTGGGGATGGCCACAGGGTGCTCAGAGCCACCTAGAAACCCGTGATGCTGCCTGAAAGTACTTGCCTTGTCTCTGCCCAGGGCAGGAGCTGGGGCTGCATGAAGACGCCACCAGCTGTAGGCCCCTCACCCCAGCTCCTCCTGAGCCCTGTATGGCCCCCAGGTGAGCAGGCGCCCTTCCCCGGGTAGGCAGCATCTGGCCGCACGATGCAGGGTGCTGTGACCCTGCCTCCCAAGGTGCTGGAGTCCTCTCCAGGGTCCACCATGGTCTGGTGGTAATATGGATACATCAGCATGGGGTCAGCTGGGCCATCAACGACCCCTTGGCCAGCAGCAGCTGGCATTTCCATCTTGCTCTTGGTCTTGGTCTTGGTCTTGGTCTTGGTCTTAATCATGGTGAAGAAGCTTTGTGTTTCTCCCATTAAGGGTAATGTTCACGGAGGTGCTTCATAGACTTTATCAGGTTGAGGACGTTCTCCTCCACTCTTGGTTTTTATCATGAGTAGGTGGTAGATTTTGTCAAATCCTTGTTCTACATCTGTTGATGTGTCATGTGACTTTTCTTCTTTAACCTGTTGATGTGGTGAGCTACCTTACACTAATTGATTTTGAATGTCAAACCAGCCTTGCATCCCTGCAGTGAATCCCATGGGGCTGTGGTGTGCAATTATTTTTATACATTGTGATATCTGATTTGCTAATATTTTGTGAGAACTTTTGCATCTATGTTCATGAGCGGTCTGCAGTCTTCTGTTCTTGTGATGTCCTTGTCTGCTTCTGGTATTGGGATGCTGGCCTCATAGGGTCCTGCAGTGGTTCCAGGATGGTGGCTTCTCCTAAGATGGTGACCTGGGGACAGATATGGTGGCTCACACCTGTAGCCTCACCACTTTGGGAGGCCAAGGCAGAAGAATCACTTGAGGCCAGGCTTGGACAACAAAGTGAGACCCCGTCTCAAAAAAACAAAAAAAGATGGTGACCTGGGTCAAGCAGATTGCCCCTCACTGGGGGAGGATCACACAGACTGCCAGAGGGTCATGGTGAAGGCAGGCAGGGAGGTAATGGGGGCTATTGCAACACTGGCTTCCGTTGAAGACTTCAGGACCCAACAGTGAATGATGCAGCCCCTGGAGAGCTCCCCACCCCAGAGCCCCCACCACCCTTCCACTAAACTCTCAAAGCTCATCCTCCTTTAAAGCTATTCGAGGTTTCAAAGTGAATTGGACACTGGCTAGAGGAGACAAGGCAGACATAGCATCAAGACACGTGTCTACCAATGTGCCCTGGCCATGCATCCTTGGGCACCTCGGACACTGGGTGAATGCTACTAGCTGCAGCCTGGCCCTGATCTTCTATGTTAGATATCCCTGTCTACTCAGAAACCCAACCTCTCTGAGGCTTGTACCAGTCCAGTGATGGCCTCAGTGGTGTGGAGACCGAGAGTATCAGAAAAACAAGCTAGATACAGGCTCAAGGCCATTAAGGCGGGTTTTATTCCAGGATAGCAGCTGTAATAGGGAGAGGTGCCATGTAACCTAAGCTCCACAGGTGACAAAGAAAGCAGGAGACATCTCAGAGGCTGGATCTGCTCAGGGCTCTGACGGGCTGGTCCCTACCACCAGGTGTCTGGGTTTGCTCACTGGTGTTTACCTGAAGGAGACAGGAACATTTCAAGTCTTCATGACAGCCGGGCTCGGTGGCTCAGCCTGTAATCCTGCGCCTTTGGGAGGCTGAGGTGAGTGGATTGCCTGAGCCCGTGGGTTCGAGACCCACCTGGGCAGCGAGACCTCATCTCTACAGTAAATCAAAAAATCAGCCAGGCAAGGTAGCGCATGCTTGTAATTCCAGCTACTTGGAAGGCTGAGGTGGAAGGATCGTCAGAGCCCAGCAGGTCGAGGCTGCGGTGGCCAGGAGCGGCCACTGCACTCCAGTCTGGGCGACAGAGTGAGACTCCAACTCAAAAACAAAAAACAAAAAAAAAAACAAAATCAAGTCTTCATGACCAGAGAGAGTGGAGCGAGTGAGTAGAGAGAGGATCACCAAGGTCAGCTCTTGCACTCTGCTGGCACTGGAAGCCAGAGAGAGATCTTCCTGGCTGTTTGCGTTTCAGAGAACTTTCTCAGATCCTTGAGAAGACCATTCTTGATGGTAGAAGATACACATCTAAATGGGCAGAGAAGGGGTTGGTTAGTGCCAGCTTTCTCAGGTGGGCATGGTAAGGGGGCTGGGGTCTTCCCGGGGTCACAGCCTAAAGACACTGGAGGCCCTGCTGGAGTTTGGTCGTGTCTCTCAGCGCAGGTTTGGACAAGCTGCTTTGTACCAAGAGGTTTTCTCTGGTCTGTGATGCCCCCTAATATACCGTCGCACCCCAGTCGCCTTGGCAATGTTGCTTTCTGCCATTTCCCCAATTCCTCCACCATCCCCCTGTGTCTCCTGATGAGCCTGAGACGCTGCCTTCTGCATCTGCTTGCTGACTCACCACCCTTCCGGCCCAGTCCTAACTCTGGTCTCCTCTGAGAGAGACACCCGAGGAGGGGCTGGAGGCCTGCCACACGTGCCCCAGGCCCTTAAAGTCTTCTCTGGACGCTCCCTTGCAGATGGACCACGGCCTGGCGGCGAGCCCCCGGTCACCTTCCTCCGCACGGAAGAGGGGCCGGACGCCACCTTCCCCAGGACCATCCCCCTGATCCAACAGTTGCTAAACGCCACGGAGTTCACGCAGGACCCGGCTGCCTACTCCCAGCTGGTGGCCGTGCTGGTCTACACAGCAGAGCGGGCCAAGTTCGCCACTGGGGTGGAGCGGCAGGACTGGATGGAGCTGTTCATTGACACCTTCAAGCTGGTGCACAGGGACATCGTGGGTGACCCAGAGACTGCGCTGGCGCTCTGCTAAGCCTATGGCTGCCCAGCAGTTGGGAACAACCCCTCTCCTAGGGCTGCCCACAACAAACTAGGGGCCAAAGGCAACAGGAATTTACTTTCTGTGGAGGCCAGAGGCCAGAACCAAGGAGTCAGAGGGTTGTGTCCCTCCAAAGGCCCGGGATGGGTCCCTCTGGCCTCTTGCAACTCCTGGCGGCCACCGCATTCCTTGGCTTGTGGCCACATCACCCAGGATCTGCCTCCATCTTCACGTAGCCTCTTCTTGGTGCTTTTGTGTCCTTTCCTCTTTTTATAAGGACACCTGTCGTTGAGTTTAAGGCCTACCCCAAGTCTCGGCTGATCACATCTCAAGATCCCTAACCTCATCCTGTCTCAGAGTCCTTCTTTGCTATGTGAGGTCACCTACCAGGATCTAGGAGTAGGCGTGGGCATCTTTGAGGGCCTTTATTCAGTTCTAATCCAGCTCTGCATTTGGGGATGGGGTGAGAGAGGAACACAGCCCAGGAACTTGAGAATGTCTCCCGGCTCAGTTCTGGTTCAGCCTCAGAAACAGGCCCCCCAGAGACCACAGCAGTCTGGCTGGGGCATGGGCACTGACCTGTGCCTGGTGGCTCTGGGTGTTCACAGCCTACCCGGTGCTGTGAGGAGACCGGTTGGGCAGAGGGAAGAGTCCTGGGGCAGGGAGTGGAGAAGAGGCTGTCAGTCCTGGCACCACAATGCATCTGAACTGAGTCATGCTCATGGGGACAAGCCACCAAAGCCACTTGCCAATGGTCCTAGGTGTCTCATCCTTACCCAGTCTCTAGGTAACTGAAAGCACAGTTAGGGGAGCATACATCAGGCTCTACTGTCAGTGTTCTGGGCAGCCCCAGGCCCCAATGTGGGCAGTCTTCCACTTGGGGGAATGACAGGGTGACCTATGGAAAAGTGCTGTCCCAAGGCAAGCCTAGGCCTGGGTACTCAGTATCCAAGGAGCCCTCATCCTCAGCTTGGCTTCTGCCCTTGCTCCCATCTAGGTGTCCCTTGTGCTCAGGGTATGACCATTTCTTGGGAGTGGGGTCTCTGCACAGAGTGGACTAGGCTGGACCTCAAGCCATATGAGCCAGCAGCAAGAGAAAGGAACTCCACAGGAGGGGGACCACAAAGCCCATGAACAACCCCGACCCCTCAGCCTCCCTGTCTCCTCCGGGCCCTGGGATGTTGAAGCAGTGAGGAAGACTTTCTCTCAAGACAGTTGTCCCACGGCATGTCTATCTCAGGGTTTGTGGAAACAACAGTGACAATGTTTATTAGTTCTGTGGGAACTTAGGAAGCTCTGAGGTGCCTGAGAACATTCTAGATGCTTTAAGCAGGATCTAGGGGTGCGGACCTTACAGCAGAAGCTGCTCTTGGTTTGCACAAAATAAGCTACCTCATTAACAAGCTCATGAGAAAAGAATCCTGTCTGCCAGCCTCACTGGCTGTGGGAAGGGGATCCAATGCTATCTGCATACCTTAGACCATCCCAAGTGATCGCCAGCAGTATTCACAGAGGAGTGGGTGTACTCGCTGCTTGTGGAGGTTGGATTTGCCTGTGGGTCAAAGCCAGCACCTGCAGGGCCCCTGAAACCAGGCTGCAGGTTGGAGTTTTTCGTGCCTAGGTTTGGAACCCCACTCTGAAAAGATCCCAGGGGTCGGCGATCCCGGTGGTTGGTGTACCTGGGAAGTGACTGCCCTTGGAGGAATCAGCCCTGTCCCTCCTATCCCCATCCCAGGAGCTATGTGTCCATGCCTGTGGAGGGTTGGAGGCTCAGCCTGTGATCTCTGGCCCCACTTGATGTCCATGTGTGTGGGGGTGGCCTGGCGCCTACCCCAGCTATAGCCTTACCCCCACTGCTCGGCATGTCCAGGGCTGGTGACCCAGGGGTGCAGGGGTCCCTTTGGTAGCAGGGAGTCTCAAGGTCGGGCCCACCTGGGCTGCCATAGAGGTCTGGCCGCCCTGTACCCACTGCTGTGGCCAGAAAGAGGGGACACTGACTCCTAGTCTTTCCAGGAGGGATGTGGCCCAACTAGCTCCAGAGGCTCTTGGGGCAGCTCTGAGATCGGCTGAATCAGAGGTTGAGCTGGGTCTGTCAGGGCTAGGGTCCTCCTGGGGTCCTTTGTTCCCCTACACAGATGGTCATCTTTCTGTGAGCAGTACGTTATTGGGCCAAGATATTGCTTAGCAGTGACTGGGAAGTTGGGAATTTGGGAGAGGGGTCGCTGCTGGAAGACTGCGTGGCTCAGGGCCACACTTCCGGGCTGCTTTGGTGGATGCCCGTGCAAAGACCATACCCAGGGCGGCCCGGGGGACAATCCTGCCCACAGCGACATTAGGTGAAGCCCCTCAAAGCCTAGCAGTCCGTTGGGGGCTCAGGAGGTGGGCTGCAAGTAGGTGAGGGTTGGGTGGGTGAGGCTGGAGGGGGCAGGGTGGGGGCAGGATCAGAGTGGGTGGGTAGGGCGCAGTCAAAGGGGGTGGGCCCAGAGGGGGCACAACAAGACAGGCTGAAGGGGGCGTGGCCTCTGCCCCAGGACCCGGCCTGGCCCCTCCGCGCCCAGCCCGTGCCGTCGCGTGTTCCCCGCAGAGCTGTACGTGGCGCAGTGCACACAGCGGCCCGTAGATATCGTGTTCCTGCTGGACGGCTCGGAGCGACTGGGCGAGCAGAACTTCCACAAGGCCCGGCGCTTCGTGGAGGAGGTATCGCGGCGACTGACGCTTGCGCGCCGGGACGACGACCCGCTGAACGCGCGTGTGGCGCTACTGCAGTACGGCGGCCCCAATGAGCAGCAGGTGGCGTTCCCGCTGAGCGCCAACCTCACCGTCATCCATGAGGCTCTAGAGGACGCACGCTATCTTAACTCCTTCTCGCACGTGGGCCCGGGCATCGTGCGCGCCATCAACGCCATCGTGCGTGGTGCACGTGGCGGGGCCCGGCGGCACGCTGAGCTGTCCTTCGTGTTCCTCACCGACGGCGTCACGGGCAACGCCAGCCTGGACGAGGCAGTGCACTCTATGCGCAAGCAGAACGTGGTGCCTACTGTGGTGGCCGTGGGTGGTGACGTGGACATGGATATGCTCACCGCGCTCAGTCTAGGCGACCGTGCTGCCATCTTCCGCGAGAAGGACTACGACAGCCTGGCACAGCCCGGCTTCTTTGACAGGTTCATCCGGTGGATCTGCTAGTGCCTCCCTGCCCGCGGGGTCCGCCGGCCCGCGTTCATGGTGCTAACCAGACCCTCCCGGTGCCCACCGCCCTGCAACTCGGGATCCCTGCATCCGCGGGTGGGGTGGGCACATTCTGAGGGAAGCTTGGATAGGGGCACTGCGCACCCCGAGGCTCTACCCACCTCTCGCTCCACCCGCTGGGTCCCTGCACCCCCCCAGCCCTGACACCCCAACGCCATTGTCCCTCCTCCATCCTGCCCCGCCAGCCCCCGATTCTCAATGCCCACACTCCCAGGCGGCCCCCACTCCAGACTCTGCCGGCCCTAACCCAGGCTCGTGCTGCAGTCCCATGGCCACTTCTGAAAGCTCCTGCCAGCCCACCAGTTCCCCCTAGGCCCTACCGCTCACTTGCCTACCCCTGAGCTCCTGAGAGCAGGCCCTAAGGGTCCCTTTGTCACACATGCCTCACATCCAATAAAGGCTTTAAACTGCCTCCTGCTTGTCTACTCCAGTCTGTGCCCAGGAGGAATACCCTCCTCCAATGGATCTCGCCTTTACGGCCCCTTCCACCCCGGGGAAGACCCAGGAACCATGCGCATGCCCAGCAGGATCCCCCACCCCAGCCCAGCCCTCCCCTCCAAGGGTCAAGTATGGCCTTGGCACTGGCCACCCACACCCATTTCATGTGTAATCAGCCTTAGACAGCCTTGGCCATGGAATCCACTGAATTGGGCTTTGGGCTGAAAATTATGCCACTTGGTCAATGAACTACCAAGGTCAAAGTGCTTTCGAAAAGTTTAATGTTTAATGGTTTGTGTGAAGATATTCTGTGGATGGACAGCTAATTGGTAGATGATAAATGACAGATTGGTGTGTGGATGTGTGTGTGTGTGTGTGTGTGACAATCTCAGTGACTTCTTGCTCCCAGGTCTTTCAGGTGCACCCCCAAAACCACTACATTGAACCACTGCCCTTGCTGTGTAGGAGTGGGCTCCACCACCACAGCCAACCACCACAGATGGCAGCCTAGACAATGGAATGCATGTCTCAGCTCTGGAGGCGAAATCCGAGATCAAGGTGTGGGCTGGCTATGTTCCCTCCAGGAGCTAGGAAAGGAACTGTTCCAGGTCTCTCTCTAGTGTCTGGTAATTCCTTGGCTTGTGGCAGCATCATTCAGTCTCCACAGCACATACTTCCTGTGTCCAAATTCTTTTTATAAAGACAGTAGTCACATTGGATTAGGCTCACCCTGCTCAGGCATGATCTCATCTTAACTAATTACATCTGCAAGAATCCTTTGTCCAAATAAGGTCACATTCTGAGGTACTGAGGTTAGGAGTCAACATGTGGATTTGGAGGCACACCGTTCATCCCATAACACTCTGACACCTTGTTTGTCCCTTTTGGGATGACTGGGTCATTTTTTCATACTTCCACCGCTCTGTCATCTGACTACACAGTCTACAGTTCAAGGAGAGGATTCAATTATTTTTCTTTCTCTGCCCCTTTTCCCCCTCCCCACAAAGAACCCTGCAAAATGCCAGCAAGAGATAGGAAGAGGCTCCCCTGCTGCCCTCGGCCCCTGCAGCCTGAGCCTCAGACCTCAGACCTCTCAACATCCCCATACCAATGTCCCTACACCAATATCCCCCTACCAGTCTTCACACCACACCAACGTCTCCTAACCATTGTCCCCAACATCCTCACACCAACATCCCTGAGCTCATGAACATCCCAGACAGGGCAGGTAGAGGGAGACAGCAGGCCTCCCTTCACCCATAGGAGCCTTCTGAAGGGACATCTCTCTGTGATGCCATCCCCTGCAGGTGCAGGCTCTGACCCTGGCAGGCCAGGGACATCAGTCCCATTGCAAGAGAATTCAGACACTTGTGGGCTCCACTCATTGTCACCTATAGTATCATCTCACCAACAGCCCTTCACCAACAATCACACACCAACATCTCTACACAAATGCCCCCTTACCAATGTCTCCTTACCAATACCTCCCCATGAACATTCCCTCAGCAATGTCATATAACCACTGTCCCCACACCAAAGTCCTCAAATAACATTCCCCACCTCACCATCCCTTCACCAACTCCAATGTCCCCCTACCAACATCCCCTCACCCATGATCCCACACCATTGTTTCACACCAACATCCCCAAACTGTCCCTCGCCAGTATGCCCTACACCAAGTATCCACACCAAGAAACCTATACCAATGTGTACTCCAAACAGGCCTCCACCAAAATGCCATCAACTAGTCACCCCACCCACATCGAGGAACCACTGTCCTCTCAACAACAACCTTTAAACACTCCCCCACCAACATTCTCATACCATATCCCCACATCAGTGTCCCCACACCAATGTCCTTACACCATGTCCTCACACCAGTTTCCATACCAATATCCTCACACCAACTTCTCTTTACCCATGTCCTCTCACCAGCATCCCCACACAAAGGTCTTCACACCAACATCCCCACACCAGTGTCCCCACATCCACGTCCCCACATCATCACTCCACCAATATCTCAGCACAAAGGTTCTCACAACAATATCCCTACACCAATGTTCCCTCACCAATGTCCCCAAACTAAAGTCCTCACATCAACATCCCAACACCAACGTCCCCATTTCAACATCCCCACACAAACATTCCCATACCAATGTCCCCACACTAACATCCCCCTCACCAGTCTTCACAACACACCAACATCTCCTCATCAATGTCCTCTCACCGATGTTCCCACATCGTCACTACACCAATGTCTCAACACCAAGGTCCCCACGACATCCCCACATCAATGTTCCCTCACCAATGTCCCCTAAGTCTTCACATCAACTTCCCAACACCAAAGTCCCCATTTCAACATCCCTTCACCAACATCCCCACACAAACGTTCCCCATCAACATCCCCCTCACCAGTCTTCACACCACACCATCGTCTCCTCACTCATGTCCTCTCACCAATGTCCCCACACCAACATCCCCACCCCAAGGTCACCATGCCAACATCCCCACAACAACATCCCCTAATGAGGGTCCCCACAACAATGACCCTAGACCAGCATTCCTTATTAATATTGCTCACACCGATGTCCCTCCCAACAACCTCCCACCAATGCCCCAACATCCCCATCCCAATATTTCTTTAACATTTCCCCTAAGATATCTCCTCACTAATGTCCCCTCACTAAGGTGACATCAGGCCTTTATGGCGTGGCTGTGGGCGTGTCTCCCACCCTGCACAGCACTGAGCAAGGAAAAAGTCTGTCTGTGGCCAGAAAAAGGCTTATGCAGGAGCATTTCCAGGCTCTCTTGGGCTGTTCATCCCTCTGAAACTCGGTTCTCCTCAGAGAGGTGGGGACAGCAAATACCCCACTCCTTTTGGAACCATCACATCCATTATCTCTTTACAAAAAATGACCCCGTCCAACCACTCCTTCCCACATACTCTCTTAGGAATGTGCTGGAAAAAACTTTTTCATTTGAACCTTCAACAGTCCCTGCCACATCTCATAGGTCCCCTCCTCATTTGCGAGTTAGATGGTTGGAAACATGACCAGTGGGAGCTGGGTAAGGAGCCAGGATGGAGAGCAGGGCTAGGGATGGGCCTCCTCTACCTTCATAGGGAATCAGAACTCAGGAAGGAAACTGGGCCTTAAATCAGTGGCTCATCAAGGCTGCCTCCAAACACTCTGGTGCTCTTCCCTAGGTCCCCAGAGATAGCCCCTCCAGGGCACAGCACATCTGAGTCCTGCCCTGGGACCCGAAACTCCCTTTGGGCTTGGAATGAGGGCACCTGCGGCCCAGTTGACCCTACTTGTGCCCCCATGCTACCCAATAAACACAGTTCCTTCCCCATGCTGGACACAGCTGGAGGAACATGCTCCCCCCAAAGCTCTGAACCAGTGAAATCACATCCCCCTACGTAGGCCTGCAGCCCATCTGCCAAGCGCCAAGCCTCTGAACTAGCACATTCCTCCCGGGTATCTTTGACGGTGTACACACTGCTATAGTCAGGCTTCCCTCCTGTCTGGGCAGAGCCCTGGGCCCTGCAGCCTATGGTCAGGAATCTTCCAGACAAATCCACACAGATACCCCAGACCTCACACCCTCAGTACCACACAGCTACTGAGCTGAGGGACACCGGGAAAAGTCAGCAATCCAATGCCAGGGGTGGAGCCTAGGGGCTCTGAAGATGATAGACAAGGGTCTGGAAGCTAGAGGTTACTGCACCCCCTCCCCAGGCACCATCCCAACCCCTCCTAATCCGCACAACAGATAGGGGATCATAGCCAGATAGGGTACTCCCAGGACCACCTATCAAGGTGAGTCTGAGTGACAGCCATTCCTACCTGACCCACAAGGTTGTCTGCATATGGGGGTCACATACCACTGTGCTCACAAGGAAGGACTACTCAGCCTAGCCATGCCACCAACACAGATACTCCAAAACTTGTGGTGTGGTGGAGGCTCCCTCTCCCTCCATTTCATGGCTAAGGAGGAAGGGGAGATGAAGGGACCCTTGGCCCATCAGGGATACATATACTGCCTGCTCCACCAGTCTCCCCAAGTCACCTACAACAGTGACCTGAACTCAGGAGCTCCAAGCCCCGGCTCAGAGCTCTCTGCTCTGTGTCTGCTCCTGCAGCCCCCTGACACAGGATGGCGCCCCCAATGGAAAATTCCAGAGAGGAGGTCATGTTGGACAGCAGCCAAGTGGGTGACTCCAGTGGCTCAGGGGCAGGGATAGGTAGGATGAGAGCTGGGGGTCCCTGCCCCTCATAGCCAATCCAGGGCAGGGCATTGGGGAGGCTGCCCAGCAGCTGCCAGGCATGAAGAACCTTTCTCAGAGATAGCCAGTCACTGGCAACCTCACACATGTTGCTGTCCCCAGCTGAGCATTGCCACCCATCATCAGCATACTTTGGCCTTGGTTCTCTGTTGCCCTGCCTCCTGGCCTCTCCCTCAGGTCCACCCCTGGAGAGGTCACATGGTCACCCAGGTCCTGAGTGTGAAGCAATGGCAGGGGGGTGGGGCGGTGGCTGCATGCACTGCTCACCACAGAGGTCCCTGCAGCCACCTGCCCCACCAGAGCTGCAGAAGCCATCACCCCTTCCTCCCTCAGAAGCCCACCCACTCTCACCAGCCCCCCCCCACCAACCAGGGCTAACTTCCAGGGAGGGGGATGTAACTGTCAGCAATGGCATCTGTCCAGGTATGGTATCTGTCCAGGTCCCCAAACTTTTGGGGAATAGAGGGCTTTGAACCCAGCTCTGGGGGCAGTTTCTGCACCAGCCCAGTAGGCCCTGGGCTCCCTCCAGATTGCAGTCTCCAACTCCTCTCCAGGAGCCCTCAAGTCTGAGAAGGGGTTCAATTTGCCCCCTCAAAACCCCACTAGGACCCAGGACTGGCCATGGTGCCTGGAGACCCACGCTGGGCTTCAAGACCACCCACCAAGATCAGACCACCAAGGCCAAGAGCTTCCCAAGCACAGGGCCACGTCCCTGGGGTAGGGAGGGCCTTAGTGTGGAGGCTGAGCTGGTGGGCTGGGGTCCTGCCTTTGATGGGCACACAGGCAAGGACTGGGGTGGGCACACCTGCTCGGGTGTGAGGAAGCACAAGGCAGCAGCAGAGCAGGTGGGGAACTCAGGGGCTGCACATGCACAAACAGGTGGTCCCATCCCCACAAGGGCCTGTGGTACTACTGGTCGCAGCCTGTGGGGGCTGTGCAGGTGAGGGGGGCACAGCAGCCACACCCCTTAACCTCTGAGCTCTCAGACTCTAGCAAGCCACACATTCCCTGGGAGACACACAAGATAATGCCCCTCAGAGGCAGCAGGGCCACGGGACCCCTGGGTCAAACAGAGGACCCCTGGGTCAAACAGAGGACCCCTGGGTCATGAATGGGAGGACACAGGACCACTTGGTCAGGGACCCTGGCAGGAACCTGCTGCACAGACAGTTGGTGAGCAGCCCAATGGGTCCCTCGCAGACCCCCTGTCCTTCTGTTGGAACCTCCCACCTCAAACATGCTGGGTCTGTCCCTAAGCGAGCCCTTTGGAAGGATCTGCAGGTGAGGTTATCAGTCCCCTGTGGCCCTCAACTTTCCCAAAGTATGAAGACAGTCCCAGCCCCCAGGGACCTGGGGCCAGCATGGGGCACCAGTGAAGAAGGTGGAGACAGCAGGAAGCCTTATGGGGCAACCAAGCCCGGAACACCCGGGGGCCAGGTTCCAGATCCACGTGACCTCCCTGAGTCCCAGCCCCAGCCATAATGCAAGAACACTGTGGCTGATCTGGAGGACCAAGGCACATGCCCAGGTGGGGGCAGGACCCAGTAGGCTGGGCATCCTGGATCAGGTTGGCACTTGTGGCTGGGTTCAGTGGCAACTGGTATATCATTTCCTCATTACCTGACTAGACAATGAGAGGGTCCCAACATCTGGGTCCTGAGCTTCCCCAGCACCCTGCTTATGCAGCAGGGTCAAGGGAAGCCCCTTGAGTGTGTGTGTGTGTGTGTGTGTGTGTGTGTGTGTGTGTGTGTGTGTTATAAAGTAATGCTCAAGCGTTTGTTTGCTACAAAGTCAAAACATACTGGAGGATACAAGATGAAGGTACATGGAACTAGAACCCACATCCCCCAGAACCCACCTGCTGCTCAGAGCTAACTGCTGTTCACACACACACACAAACACACACACACGCACCACAGGTGCACACAAGCATTGTGCATGCATACATATGTAGAGATGCACACATGAGTGTGTATGCATGTTCACAGGCTTACACATGTGCACACACACGAGCTATTCCTATGAATAAGACACTGTCCAAATGTGGGTCAGAGGCCTCCCCATCAGCTCCCAGTGTCCCTTCCTGGGTGAGCAGATGCTCCAGAACCCATTCACACCTCCCCCCATCACTTCCCCACCCTCCACTGGAAACCCCAGGCTGTGGCCCTATGGGTTGGGGCACCTGCCACTGCCATGCACAAGTTGCCTAGTCCCACAGGGGCAGGCTGGGCAGCTCTCTCCTTGGTGCACATGCTTTGATATGCAGGGGCTTTCGCTATCATGCAACAGTGACTCTGCCCACTAGACATGTTAGGCATTATTTTCTTCCAGTAGTTACCTTGTAATTTACCTCGGGTGATGATGTCTTTTTCCAGAAATGAGTGTTTTAAATTTCAAATAGTGAAAGCTTTTCTATAAGATAGCTGGGTTTTCTGCCTGGCTTAAGAAGGCAGTACTCCCCATATTGTTTTCTTTTAATGTCCTACACTGTTGTCTAATAAGTACACTCATACATTTTACTTTTTACATGTAATAGTCCATAGGAAGTGATTTGGGGGTACAGTGATTTTTTAAAATTACCTTTTAGTGGAGAACTTCCCTGAAGGCAGGAGGCTGCCACAGCAGGGTAGCTGAGGAGGGAGGAGCCCCTGTGAAGGTGTCGGAATGGATGAGGTGAAGGATGGACAGTCCCAGGAGACTGTCTAAACCTGCCTACGAGCTGCTCTGGGCATTTCCCTACAGTGAAGGGCTCATTCTGGCATCAAAAGTCCTTACACTGCCTCCAGGGTTTCTGTCCCAGGGAGCCCCTTTTTGGGGAGCCCCTTTTTGGTGATTAATGGCCATGGCGCTCCCGTGAACTACACTGAAACCCTCAAAGCACCTGTGAACCGGTTCAGGCCCCAAAACTTCCAGGCAGTGCCCACGAATCTGTGGTTTTTGGTGCTGGAGACTGTGACCACACTGTGACCTCATTCCTCCCACAGCCCACTGACCACAGGGCCTGTCCCTGCCCGAGAGCCCTGGTTTAGCCCTCAACCCTGCCCCCAAAACCACAAGTACACAATGCAAGTGTGGTGAGACTTTACTGGAGGTCACATGGGACCAACGAGGACACCCATCCTGCCAGCACCTTTATTCTGGGACAGGCTCCACTGCCTGCCCTATCCTCTAGGCCTCATGGGACCTGAGGTCATGGCCTCACCCCCACTCTCAGGAGGGGCTGCAGGGGCTGTAGAACTGGCAAGGCCTCTCAGGTGTCACTCCTGCCGGGCCTCCAGGCGCTCCAGCACCAGCGCAGCCTGGGTCTTGGCTTCCTGCAGGAGACTGGAGACATGCTGGTGGACCTGACAGGCACATAGGGGGTGGAGGGGTGAGGGAGTGGGACAGTGTGTGGAGGGTTCCCAGTCAGTACCCTAAACCTGCCGGGCAGCAACCTCCAGCCCAGCTGCCCATGGCTGGTAGGACAGTCACCCCAAGTCAGCGAACCACAGCCTGAACGCCTACCTGGCCCTTAAAAGCAACATCAGTGACATCCTTCAGGTTGATGAGTACGTTAAAATATGCTCCAAACACGCCCGTCTCCAAGGCTTTGGCTGCCACCTGCAAAGTCAACAGGGACTGGGCTTGCCAACAGAACCCATCAGCCCAGCAGCCCAGCAGCTGGGCTGATGGGTGCAGACCCATCGGTGCCTCATCAGTCAAGGTTGAGCAAACTGACTGGGCCCAAGCGTCTCCCCTGAAGATGGGAGACCCAGGCCTCATCCTTCACCACAAGGAACCCTGTGCAGTCCTGCTCTCAGTCCACAGAGGGGAACTGGTTCCAGGAATAACCTCAGCACAATTTCGAATTTCTCCTATCACTGAGGTTAGAAAATGAAACCTCCTTTCATAGGAGCAGGGCTTGGCCTCCTCAGAGGCTTGAGAGAGGCTGCACCGGCTGTTTTCTGACATGTTTGAAGCCAGGATCATCATTCTATAGGCAAAGTCAGCCCTTCCAAGCCCATCAGCAGCTCTATGTCTTCAAATTAACAGCTTGCCTGCCACCCAGGGCCACTTCCTGGGTCAGAAAAAGCACTCCTCTGGGGTCTCAAGACCAGATACTGAATGCAGGTGTCTTTCCTGTAAAGACCCTGCAAAACGTGGGATCTTAGGGCACTGCAGGAAGCACAGAGTCCGTGCTCCATCCTGCATCTTGCTCAGACGTTCCAGGACCTGGGACCTCCAGCCTGGGCCAGCATGGTTTGTCTATTTTCAGGCAGCTACCTTAGGTGTTTTCTAGAACAAGGGAGTGGGGTGAGCAAGGGGGTACTGGGAGAGGCAGTGTGTGGTCAGGGTGGACTCTGTAGGCACATCTGAGTTTCTGCCTGTCTGCAGTACAACACTGAACAAGACCTTGAGACAGATTAGGCGAGCTGGCCCTGCTGGAGGAAGCCAAGGCCACTGTGAAGTACTGTGAGGTCTCCAGCCTGGCTCAGCCTCACAACAGCCATGTTCTCCACCAACCTGAGCCTCTGCTTCCCCTGCAGCAGGAGCCCTGGGGGCCTGGGCCCCTACCTGCAAGTCGGACCGACAAGTCAGGTTCCCATACAATGCCAGCTCCTGCAGCACCGGCCACAGCGAGGTCACCGTCTCCGCCAGTTCCAGGGGCACAGAGACTGCCCGCTTCAGCCCCTCTTGCAGGGCAGTCACTCGCCTGGAAGGGGGGATGGTCAAAGCCCAGGGAGGGGTACCCTTCAGTCAGGCCAGGCACCTGTACCACTTGACTGGGCAGAACCAAAGCATGACAGCAGGAAAGTCATCCTTGAACCACAGACACATACCAGGGCAAGTCAATGGGTCCCACCACAGTGCCTGGACACCAGATATCCCACCAACAATTCCCCAGCACAGGGTCCTGAGGGGCTATGGGGCCACCCGGCTATGGCTGCTCTCACCTGTCCTTCTCCTCAGGTGTGTTTCTGGGCAGCTTTATTGCTTCCTACCAGAAGGAAACACAAAACCACTTGGTGAGTGACGCAGAGGGGGGTGGCCCTGTTCTCTGACCGCACACGAGTGACCGTGAGCAAGGCTGCATCTCAGACCACAAAGGAGGCCCTGGAAGGGCAAGGGGTGGCTGGCAGTAACACCCATTCACCGTCCCCATGTCAGTGCTTCCCATTTGGGCTGCTGGGCTGATGGGTGCAGGCACAGAGCAGGGATGAGCTCTCTGGGAATGGAGTTTGTTTTGGGTCTGTGGCTTCAGTTTCAGTGGGGGGGTGAGCACAGCAGGTAGCCAGAGACCTAGGAGGGTGTGTTTGGAGAAGAGGGGTAAGCAGTATCCCAGGGCCCTTGTTTCCAGATAAGGAGACAGAGGGTCTAGGAGGACCCTGAGCCCTTACAACAGGGCAGGAGTAGCTCTGGGCCAGCATCCTCCCACAGTGCCAGGTTCCTCCAGCACCAACATAGTCTTAAAATAACACAAGCAGCTGTACCAACCCCAGGTCTGGGCATAGGAAATTCAGACTGTGCAGAAGGACAGAGAGCGAGCTGCAAAGTCCCAGTGTCCTCCCTACCACAGCATCCTTCCCATCCCCGCCCCTGCCACAGGCTTCAGCCTTTTCCCAAGTGGTCACACATGTGGCTTGTGACTTCACACCCTGCTGTATTACTTTTGCTTTTGTAATGTATTGTGAGGTTTGTTTTGGGGTTTGGGGGGCATAACTAGCTTTTTATTACATCTAGAAATTACTTATGTGCTTGGTACAAGATAAGGATGTTTTCTTGTTTTTTTGTTTTATCAAAAGTCTACCTTCTTGTTAGCAAAAGGATTAAAACCAGTTCAGTGTTTGTCCCACTCAGATGTGTGTGTGTGAAACCACTGATACTTGACTCTCAGTCTCACCATTTTATTTTACTTTGTTTTCCCTAAACCATACATCTTTGCTGCTTATTTTTGTTTCCTGACTTTTGATTAAATTTTTGTTTATGTACTTCTCTCCACTTGCCCTCTAATTATTCATCTTATTTCTTCTAATTTCTAAATTGAGGGTTGTCCCTACATTTTTAATGTTTCTATTTAAACTGATGTTTCTCTTTACATGCCTTCTGTGTCTAAAGTTCATCAGACTATAAAAGTCTAGAAAGGAGGACCGGCACAGTGGCTCACATCTATAGTCCTAGAACTTTGGGAGGCCATGGTGGGAGGGTTGCTTGAGGCCAGGAGTTTCAGACCAGCATGGGCAACATAGTGAGACCTTGTCTCCACAAAATATAAAAAAATAATCCGAGCACGGTGGTACATGCCTGTTGTCTCAACTACTCCAGAGACTGAGGCAGGATTGCCTGAACCCAGAAGGTACAGGCTGCTGTGAGCCATGATCGTGCCACTATACTTCAGCCTAGGTGACAGAGACCTGAACACATTTTTTAGAAAAGTAAGTAAATGAAATTTACAATGTTAAAACATGACTGAGAAAAGGTGATCAGTATGTATGCCACCCTCCAAACAGAAGAGGAGGGTCTGTTTCAGATGGTTGCCTCCTTGGATACCACAGATTATTTGGGCCAGGCCCTATTAGTTTCTATCCTTCGGGTGGATTCAGCATTCATTTCAGGGCACAGGCCACAAAGATCCTTCTCACCCAGGCTTGCAGGGGAGGCAGCCTCTGTCCCTGAAGCCTCAGGTCCAGGTCTGTGGAGCTCCAGATCTATGCAACGGCAGGCACTGGTGAGGTCTTCTTACCCGTGCTTTGGAGTCTGGGGGCCCTCCCATACCCGTTAGTGTTCTCATTCACCCTCTCTCTCATTTCTACCCTTCTTTCCATCCTCTCCTGTGTGGGAAAGGTTCTTGGACACCAGATGAGCTTCCTGCCCTTGTCCTGACATCTCGGCCCTTCCTGCAGGCTCTCTGATTCCTGTCCTGGTTTCTGACACTCAGACTCTCCTGTGTGCACACCCTGAGAGCTAACCTGCCACACATGGGTGTTATTTTTTTAAATGGTGTTTTCCATTTTGTTTTATGGGTGGAATTCTTATCTAATCTGAACTTAATCACCAGCTTTTCTTCTTTTAAGATGTCTGTTAGCCTCCTTTCCTCAGATGGGTGGCTTCTTCAGGGACTTCTTCCTCCAAGTCTCTAAGTCTGGGTCCCTGCACACCAGAGGCTGGAGACGCTCGCCTGGGCTTCCCAGCTGCTAGAAGGTGCCTATTCTCTCCCTCCCACCCCACAACTCGGCCATAGCCTCAGAGTGTGGGGTCACCAGTGGTCCAAACCCTCAAACCTTGCTTGGAGGGGATGCAATCTGGGCTGACTGCCCCGGGGCCTAAATAGCCACCAGACAATTGCGCCCCCTGCACCCCCTCTTCAGCTATTCCTGGTCTCCAGCTGGAAGCAGTCTCCAAGCTAGTGACTCCTGCCTGCTGTAACCCTTCCCCCACTTCTGGCTCAGGCCGAGAGGGGTTCAGTCCCGCAGAATTAGGCCTGCAAGTCGAGGGTCGTAGGCAGTGGGTGGTGAGCGAACCCTCATAGTGGTCCCTGCACTCACCAGGTAGGCAGCAAAGGCCTCGGCGTCTGCATCCACCAGCGCAGTGAGCCGGGCTGCAGCGGTGTGGAAGGGTGGGATCAGGCGCCGCATGGTCTCATCAAGGTGCTCGAACTGGCGCCGCCCATAGGTCATCAGGCCCACCATGGAGGCCAGCGCCGCACCCTGGGCAAGAGGCCAGCTGAAGCCGGGGCCACAGGGGCCCCACGCAGGACGCTCAAGCTGCCTGGATACTGACTCCAGGCAACAATGGAGAGAACTCATCTGGCATCCTCCCGCAAGGAAGTCCCTCACATAAGGTCCTGTACATGGGGTCCCAGTGCAGTGGGGTCCAGCAGTGGAGTCCCACACATGGGGTTCCCAGTACAGTGGGGTTTCTGGCACAGTGAGGTCTGGGAGCAAAAGTATTCCAGCACAGTGGAATCCTGCCACATGTGGTTCCCAGCACAGTGGGATTCCTGGCACAAAGGGATCTGGGAGCAATGGGATCCCAGCACAGTGGGGTCTCACACATAGTGGTCCTGGTATAGTGGGATCCCGCACATGGATTCCCAGCACTGTGGGGTCCCGGTGCAGTGAGGTCCCAGCACCGCAGGGTCCTGCACATGGGATTCTGGCACAGTGCAGTCCCACACATAGGGTCCCAGTGCTGTAGAGTCCTGACGCAATTGGATCCTGTATATGGGGTTCCCAGAGCAGTAGGGTCCTGCACACAGGGTCCAGGCACAGTGGAATCTCACACATGGTGTCTGGGTGCAGTGGGGTACCCCACACATGGGGTTCCTGGAGCAAAGCATCCTGCACATGGGGTCCCAGCAGTGGGTCCCGTACATGGGGTTCTGGAGCAGTTGGTTCCCTCACGCTCCTCCCCAGGCCTGCACTCACCATGGCCGCAGCAGCAGCAGCCACCGAGCCTCCCCCAGGGGCTGCCGTCCGGGCGCCCACCTTGCCGATGAAGGTGCTCAGGGACTTGTTGACCAGGCTCTGCTCAGGCTTGCGGTTGGGCACCAAGTACCTGTGGGATTGGGGGTTGCTCACTGGTTGATAATGAGATTCTAGGTTGTGCGCTGCTCCTTCCCAGGGTCCTGCCAGAGCCCACAGCTGCCCTCACCCACAATTAGGAATTGTCCATAATGTGCAGAGCAGCAGCAGGATGGAGTGACCTCCCCCAGGAGCTCACATGAGGATAGAGCAGAGGCCTGTGTGCCCCCTACACACCAGCCCCCAGACCCAGGCTTGGCACAAGGCACCTGCTGAAAGCACCGAGCAGGGCACAGGCAGGACTGAGCCAGGACTCTTCTCAGGGGCCACCCTCTGCACCCTGTAAATCTGGCATGAGGGAGGGGCACGTGACAGGGAAGGGCTGGGGGGCCCAGGGAAGGCTAGGGACAGGGCAGAGGCTCACTCACTCGATGATTCGTTCCTTGGGGTTGAAGGGGGACAGGGAATCCAGGCCCAGGCGGTTCACCACCTGGAAAGAGTAGGGTGGAAAGGCTGGCCTCAGGCATCTTCTATGGAAGGAAGCCCACGCTGGGGAAAGCGGGAATGTGCAGTTTCTCCTCCATTCACAGGGACCCCCTACACTGAGCAAGTCTGGCCTTTTTGTGGGGAGCAATGCCAGTCACGCTGGCACACACTCCCTCCAGAACCCAGCCCAGAGTCAATGCACTGTAGAGACCTCTGGCTATATCCACACACCCTGAGCTACCCCATGGGGAAGCTGAGGCCCAGAGAAAGGAGTTGCCCGCTCATGATCCTTTAACACACTGCTCCCCATCATTCCCACACACCACACCTCACTCAGCCATTGTTGACATTGCTGACAGGAACCCCTCTTTGGACAAGATTTGAATTCTTCAAGTGTCAAGGTCTAATAAGTTCTCAAAGTTTAGAAACATCCTTGATTCATCAAAGAAAAGTGAATTTTACCTAAATATAAAATAAAGCTTTAACAATCTCATTTAAGACTAGAATTCATTCTGCCAGAAACCATTCAGAGCACTTTTGCTATATGCCTCCCCTTACTACGGAGAAAGAACAGTGACAGGCACTGCTGAGGGACACAAGCCAGAGCATCTTGGAAGGTAGAGGACTCCTGAGTTAGACTGTAGATCAGTATGCAAGAAGGCCTGCCTAGCACAGAAGACCTCAGAAAGACACATGGAATTTTACAAATTAATTTAAATTCATGACTAAGCTGGCAGAAAGTAAAGGAAATCATTCAAGGCCAGAAATCATCAGAAAGGTGAGTCCAGGAGGGCCTGCTAACCCTGAAGTTGGGTCCACCCTGGAGACAACTGACTCCTCAGCAACCCTTCCTGAGTGGAAGAGGTCTCGGGCCTTCAAAGAGTAGGGACCCCTGAGAGGAGACATCCCCAATGATGAATTAGAAAAAAAACACCCACACCAACCCATCAAGGGAAATAGTTGGGATATTTCCCAGTCCCTGCCTTCCCTTTGGGTGAAATAAATGGAACAAAATGCAAAAGAAAAGAAAGAAATCTCTCCTGGGAATTTCTAACCACAGGCCATGCTGATGGGGCTACGGGCCACATCTGATAGAATTTGCTACCTGTGCAGTTCCAAAGTGCCAGGCAAAAAACTTAGCTTCAGATGGTCCTGTTGTAATAGTGTCTGCAAGCACCTAACACAAGCCCTCTTTGAAGGAGAAAACTTTAAGTCCAGGTATCCAAAAATTATCATAGATAAAATTCCAAAGAATGTGCACTCACAATCAAAAATCACAAAACACGTGAAGAAGCAAGCCACCATGAGAAAAAGTAGGCAGAAACAGTTTGCAAAACCCAGATCTGCAAAGACTGCAGACATAAGAACTTTCAGATAAAGAATATAAAATGTTGGAGGTCAGGCTCAGTGGCTCAGCCTGTAATCCCAGCACTTTGGGAGACCGAGATGAATGGATTGCCTGAGTCCGTGGGTTTGAGACCAGCCTGGGCAACTTGGTGAGACCTCGTCTCTATAATAAATTAAAAATATCAGCCAGGCATGGTAGTGTGTGCCTGTAGTTCCGGCTACTTGGAAGGTTGAAGTAGAAGGATCGCAGGAGTCCAGCAGGTTGACGCTGGGGTGGCCGTGAGTATGCCACTGCACTCCAGCCTGGGTGACAGAGTGAGACTCCAACTCCAACTTCAAAAAAAAAAAAATATATATATATATATATACATATATATATATGTTGGAAAATAGAAAAGGCCATCAAACATGCTAACAAGGTATAAATAAACGTGGGAGACATGAAAGCTTATTCTTACAGAGTAAGGATAAAAATGAGAAAATTGTCACTGACTGCTAAAGCATATAGCAGGAATTTCAGTAGGTATTTTTCTACCTATCAAATACTTAAACATCTTAAAGTACCTCCTACAGAGTATTTATCAATTACAAAAGTAAAAACAGTGATGTTGTAGTGAATAGCCCCGGATGAGAGAACACTACCTAACCAGGCGCTCCAAGTCAGCACACTGAGACAAGCTGGCAACGCTGGGTACTCTGAGGCGGACACAGAATCACTTGTGCTGTTCCTGCCAAAAATGCACGACTACATCTAGCCACAAGCAACATCAGACCAGGCCCCACTGAGGGACATGTTACAAAACAACTAGCCTATACTTTTAATGCATGTGAAGGTCAGTGAAGAATAAGAACAACTGAGGAACTGTTCCAGAAAGGAGACAAAAGACAAGTCAACTCAGTGCACTGTGTTATGTGAACTGGATTGTGGATTGGAGGCTGAATAGCTATGATGAAAATTATTGGGACATTGATGCAATTTGATTATGGTCTGAAGATTATTAGATACTAGAATTGAATTAATGCTGAATTTCCTGATTTTGATAATTGTACTGTGGTTATGTAAGATAATATCCTTGTTCTTTAGGAATACACTCTGATTAAACTATGGGTAAAAGAGCACAATGTCTTCAACCCACTTTCAAATGGTCTAGTAAATAAAATATAATTATGAATGAATACACAGAGAGTGATATAGTAAGTGGGGCAAAATGCAAACAATTGGTAAATCTGGATAGAAGGCCAGTTCCTTGTACTATTCGTATACATTTTCTGTAAGAAATTATACAAAATAAAAAGTTACAAAAAGAAAAAGGATCCTCCAGGCATCAGAGAGAAAGAACAAGTCACTCTGGTGGGGGATGCCTAACTTAGGTTGACCTCAGCCCTCTCATAGAGACATCTAATTCCAGAAGATGATAAACATACATGTTTGCAATGTTTTCAGACAAAAACAGTTGACTTGAAGTTTTTTTGTCCAACTGTCTTACAAGAATAAAGTCACAGAAAGACATCCCCAAACATATCAGAGCCCACAGAATAAAGCCCTGTGAGTCTTTCTTTAAAATCTATTTGTAAGGCTGGGCTGGTAGCTCACACCTGTAATCTCAGTGCTTTGGAAGACCAAGGCGGGAGGATCACTTGAGCCCAAGAGTTCAAGACCAGCCTGGGCAACACAGCAAAATCCCATCACTACAAAAAAATTTTTTAAATAGCCCAGCAACTCCCTCGGGTCCCCTCCCCTCCTACTCTGGGAGCTTTTCTGTTCTCCCAATAAATTCTGCTTTCCCATCTAAAAAAAATTAGCTAGGCGTGGTGTCACATGCCTGTAGTCCTACCTACTCTGGAGGTTGAGGTAGGAGGATCACTTGAGCCCAGGAGGCTGCAGTGAGCTATGATGATGCCACTGTATGCCAACCTAGGTGACAGCTTGTCTCAAAAAGAAAAAAATCTTCTTGATCATAAAATCCAGCCAACAAACAGATGGGTAACAAGGTTAGCCTGAAGGAACAGACACACATACTGATCTCACATATATAGCTAAGGTTGAGTGTGTGTGGGTATTTAACATGCTTAATATATGTGGATATAACGACAGGAGGTTAATGCTATAAACTTGATAATATAAAAATAACAACACAGCAATTTAAATCAGGAGCAGAGACGGCTGCTCAAATGCAAATGCACTGATTTCTTGTCTTTCTTCACCTGGAACCAATAGATATTGTGTGATGTTGATAAGGCAAGAGCTAAAAGAGTAAGTATATTATTTAAACTTAAAAGTCTAACCACCAAAAGAACCTCTCCCATAAAAATATTATAACTTTTAAAGATCAGGATACACAGAAGGAAGAAAAGATGGGAATGAATACAGCATGTACTGATTTTCTCATTTTGGTAGCAGGCACTCTAAAATTGATATCAAAAACAGAAAAGTATGTCAAGCTACAAAGGTAATGACCAAAACACCTAAAAGTATCTTCTACCCCTCCCATATAACCAGAAAGAAACTATACCCAAATGTCCCTACAGACCCAAAAATAGGGGGAAAGAAGTAAGTCCCCAGGTATCTACTAAATTAGTAAATACAAACAGAATAAACTCAATTATCAGAAGACAAAAGCTTCCCCCAAAAATCCAATCCTGTGCTTACTGTGAGAAACACACCTAAAATAAAGTGATGCAGTAAGACACCGAGTGGAAAGATAAAGGATGGTGGACACCTCTGCAAACTCTGCCATGCCCTGAGCAGGAGCCTGGGGCCTGACAGGAACCCAGACCTGGATGCGTGAGGCACAGGCATTAGCGGGATACACAGAACCACTGTCTAAAAAAAACAGTCTGTGGACGAGGATCTAAGTGCCATCTAAATGTGTCTTAGATGCATATGAACCATAACTGTCTGCTCCAGGGGTGCAGAGAGTCCAACAGAGGGGCTGCGGGGAGACTCATGACCCTCCCTGGAACACAACCAGTTCAGGAGAGGAGAGTTGGCAGAAGGCATGCTATCTTCTTAGTGGGATTTATACAAGACTCAAATAAAGTACAGGTCACAAAGAAAACCTCAGTAGGGTCGCCAAAGTGAAAATGAAAATCTCATCTTCTAAACAAAAACTAGTGAAACAAAGGAAATGGGAAAAAAGGAGGAGGAGGTTGCTGGCTCTATAGCTGGGGTCCAGGCTGGAGTGTGAGCATCTGAGAACTGCTCACTGCCTGAGACCCTCCTGTTCCCACCCCCCTCCTTTCTTTGTCCCAACTGCTCCCCAGGGAGCCTGGCCCACCAGTCTGATCCGGTGCTCTTCCTCCAGGATGAAGAGGTTCTCCTTGTCACAATAGAAGTCAGCTGTGTCCAGCAGGGCCTTCAGAGGCACCAGGCCCACCAGTTGTGAGCCCACCACTGGGAGGCTCAGCTCCTGTAGGGGCACAAACGGGTCAGCACGTGGGGAGGGTGGGCTTGCCCTGTCTAGGGGATGGAGCCCCGCATCCTGCCCTGCTCACCCGTGCCTCTCTGCAGGTCTCCTCATAGACTGTGTGCAGTGCCGTGACATCGAAGTCCAGGAGGTTCGTGGACACCTGGGCCAGGTTCTTCTCATCCAGGTACCAGCCGATGCCCTGAACCTTCTTGAGGCGTCCTGGCTGCCAAGGAGAAGCGTGTCCCAGCCTGAGCTAAGAAGGTTCCTCTGCCAGCCCTGCCCAGCCTCTCAGGCGCCTGATGAGGAGGCTGGAAAAGGCAGCCAAGGTGGACGGAAGCAGTATGCAGAGTCCATACCTCAGCTCCGATGGACACTGTGGCTTTTCTCCTTCCTCCCTCTTTCTCTCAGCTGAGCTGGCCCCACCTACCATAGGGAAACTGAGGACTAGAAGGTCAGATGCCAGATGCCCACCTCTCAAAGGCCCCAAGCTCAGACCAGGCCCTGCCCCTTGCCAGCCCTGCCCTAGAGGTCTCGAGGACACTGAAGAGTGTGGCCTGCTGGGGTCCCATGATCCCCCTTCCCCATCCTCCCATCCCACCTGCTTGCCTAGCAGATGCTCCCCAGTCCTGGCTCTCCCAGGTAACTGAGTCCACGTGGGGAGGGACTGTGACTTCTGTCTTCAGCTGGGACAGGAGGAAGGAGGTGGGGGTCCCATGCTTTTGTGTTGTACTTATGGACAACTGATATGCAAGGTAGGAGGCCAAGAAGTTGGGCCCCCAAGGCCTCAGCTGCCTGGCAGGACCCTGGATTCCAGGGACAGGGAGAGATGGGTAGGAGGTCCTGCCACCTCTTCTACCAGGTGTCTTCGGCATCTGTGCAAGAGTGCTGCTCGGGCCAGGAACCAGACTTGAGGGGCACCTGGAGTACCTGAGAGCACCTGGGGGGCCCTGGAGCACCTGGGATACTTAAGGGTACCTGAGGCACCTGGGGGCATGACACTTGGAGGTACCTGGGGGCACCTGGGGATACTTGGGGGGGAGTACCTGAGACACCTGGGGGTACGTGGGGGACACCTGGGGTGCTTATGGGCACCTGGGGTACCCAGGGCATCCAAAAGTTTGTAAGGAGGATTGGCAGTAGTAGGAAACTGCCAGGGGAGGAGGGGGGATTGACAGTTGAGGGAAACTGCTAGGGGAGGGAGGGGCACACCTCATCAACAAGGTACCTGCATAATGAACATTTTATACCTAATGCTGAATTGTGCCCCACATCTTTTAAAAAAAGAAAATTTTTAAAGAAAGTTTGTAGGGGCATCTGGCAGAACCTGCACCATCTGGAGGTATGTTGGAGTATGTGTGGCACCTGGGACTCAGGAAGCAGCTGTTTCTATCAGTATAGAAATATCATAATATTTTAACTATAGGAATCCTGGCTCCTTCGTGGAAAACCCCTTTAAAGCAAGTGTTCTGGCCGGGCTCGGTGGCTCAGTCTGTAATCCCAGCACTTTGGGAGGCCGAGGTGAGTGAATTGCCTGAGCCCGCAGGTTCAAGACCCGCCCAGGCAACTTGGCGAGTCTTCATCTCTACAATAAATCAAAAATTAGTTGGACATGGTAGTGCGTGCCTGTAGTTCCGACTACTTGGAAGGCTGAGGCGGAAGGATGGCCGGAGCCCAGCAGGTCGAGGCTGCGGTGGCCGGGAGTGTGCCACTGCACTCCAGTCGGGGCGACAGAGTGAGACTCCAACTCAAAAATAAAATAAAATAAAATAAAAATAAAACAAGTGTTCCAACCTCAAACACTCAAATCCCGACCCTGCCCATCCTGCTCAGTACAGACTTTGAGGCTGGGCTGGTGACCAAGTCTTGTACTGAATTTTCCCTGGAGAATCTTCCCTCTGATCCTCTCTCAAGGAGAACTTTGGGGCTTTATGTAGCCCTGCTCTACTCACCTGGTCCTTCCCGCGGCCCTGCTCACGCAGGTTCAGGGCGATGCGGTGGGCCTGTTCCTTGGTGCTGAGCAGGTTGATGTTGAACGCGATGAGGAACTTCCGTGCCCCCGTGGTAGTTGCCCCCCAGCTAGGGACGAAGGTGCTGGGGCCAAAGTCAGGTGCCCACTCGGCCTGCTTGAGCTGTGGGGAAATTCACCCTGGAGTGAGACTGTCCCCCAAGAGGAGCAGCCCCGTGGGGTCCCAAGGAGGAGCGGCCCAGACCCATCCACCCCAGTAAGAGAAAGTGGCAGATCCACCCCCTCCCTAGACCCTGCACCATGGTGGGGCACCTTCTCAGGGAGGGCCTCGTACTCCCCAGCCCGGATGGCCGGCAGGGCCCGACGACTGGCTGTCCGTGCTGCTTCACCATACAGGTACACTGCAGGGAGACACGAGTCAGGCCTCCGTGGAGGAGAGTAACTCCCCTCCAGTTCTTGGAGGACCCAGGCAGGTGGCTCCCACCAGTTTAAACCTGGGACAGTCTCCCCCGTGTCCTCTCCCAGGGGTATACCCCTTCTTCCTGCCTCAGACCGAGGTGGGTTGTCCCTAATGGACCCTTAGCATGAGCCTGTACCCTCCTGCCCTGCTCAGATGTCCTTGAAAAAGCAAAACTCTCCACAAATCCCCAACACCTGTATATCCCCACCTCGCACTGTAGACTGCGCCACATGGTTGTATTTCCTGCCGGTGGGGAGTGTGGGGGAACTTGCTCTATACAGATCCACTGTCCTCCACTGAGGGATAAGCATTGTGTCCCAATTTGTCTCCATTTGTCTTGATTGGGTTAATTCCCTATAGTGAAACTATTCTACTTGAGAAGATATGGATTTTTAAGGCTCTCGGTTTGTCCTGCTGGACTATTCAGGGTCCCGGCAACCTGCACTGCTGGCAAGCTGGCTGCACTGTGTGGTTTCTTTCTTTTTTTGTTTTTATGAAAGCAGGATGTATTGAGAGGACAGAAAAGCTCCCACAGTAGGAGGGGACCTGAAGGGTTGCCCATTGTGCGGCTTCTATTTGCATTTGTTTCATCACTGAAGAAGCTGGACACCTGTGTGTTAGTTCACTCATGGTAGTTTTTGTAACACTCTGCCCTTGTAGGAAGAATCAAGGGCAGAGAACCTGGCATGCCCTTGTAGGAAGAATCAAGGGCAGAGAACTGTGGGGGGCGGAAATGTGCCAGGGACCAGGAAACCGCTGATGACACAGGGGCAGCCACACTGGAGATGGGCCACTCTGGGGCACTCACCTGGCACGTCCAGCTCCTCTGCCAGCCGCTGGCCAAAGGCCTGGGCACAGAGCACACACTCGTCCATGCTGACACCCCTCACAGGGATGAAGGGGCAGACATCCAGGGCCCCCATGCGAGGGTGCTCCCCTGCAGGGAGACAGGAGGCTGAGGCAGGAGGCTGGAGAGTGGAGTGGTGGGAGCTCCATGGGATTCACACAGACCCTCAATCCTCCCTGGCCCTATTTTGAATAGTCCCCGGATCCACACACCCAGTTGCCCACACTGACCATAGGGAAGCGGCTGGCCCTGAGCATCCCTCAATCCCAGCAGCAGCTCCAGTTCCTCCTGGGTGGTCAACTATAGACATCCATGGACTGCCCTCCTGGTCAGCTTAGAGGAGGCCTCTCAGACTCCAGGAGAGCCAGCAGGCCTGAGGAGTTTGCATCTCTGGGATAAGCCTCTCCCTGTCCTAATAGTCACAAAAATAACTTTCTAAGGCTCTGCAATGCCAAGCTCAGTTCTCAGGGGGCCTGGCTAGGCTGGAAGTGACTGGTTAGGGCTAAGTTCTGGTCACCCAACCCTCTACCCCAGAGCAGGAGTCCAGATGCATCTACAAAGTACTCTGAGCAGCTGTGAGTCAGAGCCCACCCTGGGTTGATAAGCCTTTCACCTCCAGGTCCACCTTCGTCCCCAAAGCCCAGGCCAACCATGTTGAAATGAGTGTCTTTTTTTTTTGTGAGTCAGAGTCTCACACTGTTGCCCAGGCTGGAGTGCAGTGGCAAGCTTATGGCCACCACAGCCTCAACCTGCTGGGCTCAGGTGACCCTTCCACCTCAGCCTTCCAAGTAGCTGGAACTAGAGGCGTGCACTACCATGCCCAGCTTTTTTTTTTTAATTGTAGAGACGAGGTCCCACCAAGTTGCCCAGGCTGATCTCGAACCCCTGAACTCAAGAAATCCTCTTGCCTTGGCCTCCCAAATGCTGGGATTACAGGCTTGAGCCATCGCGCCCGACCTACTTGTGAATCCCTTTATGTGTCCCCCCTGGAACCCCCCACCATTGAAAGTAGCCTGAGACCCTGGCCTTTTGACCAATCCTGTGTGTGCCCAGCAACCTTTGACCCTCTCTGCTCAGCTATGACTTTTGGCTTGTGTGCTGTTGACAAGATAGCTTCTGGTGACCCCTGCTCTCTCCAGAACCTACTCAGAGACAGACTGGAGGCTACAGTAAGGCAACACCCTCAGGAACCCCAACTGGTGGGTGAAGGGAGCCACATACCTTCGAGAGGCCCATCCAGTTTCTCCCACCTAGCCTGCAGCCAGGTGGGGTAGCAATCCCTCATATTCTGGGATCCCCCAAGGAGAGTCAGAGGCAGTCCCACTAGACTCCACACCCAAGTCCTAGCCTAGGCCCGTCTCCTCTCCTGGGACAGGGCTCAGCCTGGATACTCCGAAGCTTAGGCATAACGCCTGGAGGCCCTTGGAGCCCAGACCACCCTCACCTTGGTGTCTGGTCATGTCAATGAGCCGGAAGGCCACTCGGGCAGCGCTGAGGGCCCCCTCCACCACGCACTCTGGCTGCCCCACGAAGGTGTAGACCGTGCGGTTAGTAGAGGGACCTGCGTCCACATCTAGCAGCATGCAGCCTGGGGTCTGTGCGATGGCTTGAGAGATGGCATCAATCACCTGGGGACAGGAGCCGGCCCCACACCTCAGTGTCCCCATTTGGAAGAGGGAAAAGGAGTTTCGGAGGTGGCTGTACCGCACACCCAAGTGTGGTCTGAGGAGTTGGGCTGAGCAACCTGGGAATCCCCCAGAGCCAGTAACAGTCCCAGGGAGCCATCACACCCTGCCTGAGGCTATCAGACGCCATGGTCACTTAGGATCAAGAACAGACCTGGCAAGGAGAGGCAGTAGGGAGTGCCTCTAGAGGAAACTAAGACCAGGCTTCTGCTCCTGACAGCCAGATGCCCAAAGGGAGCTGTCAGAGCACTGAGAAGGTAAGAACAGGCCCAGATCACAGAGGGTCAGGGTCCTACCACCTCCCTAAGCCAGGAGGTTAGTGGCAGATAGCCAGTATAGGGGAGGGGTCTGAAGGACCTAGAACCTTATTCAAGGCAGAACAGCAGGAGTTTAGCCCCGAATCCTGTCCTGCGGACTTTAGTGGTTTGCCTAACCCTTCTGTGCCTCAGTTTCCTTTTAGGTTAGATAGGAATGAAGATAACACTTGCCTCATTAGGCTTCAGCATAAGGGCTCAATCCTGTGGGAAGCCACATGTGGGTGACCTCATATGACCCACAAACATCCCCTAGGGTCAGTCTCTGAGGGGCCCTGTTTTCAGGTGAGAGCAACAAGGCCCATAGAGGCCAAGAGATCCACCCAAGCATTCCCAGAAGCTTCTGAAAGACTCCTGCCCTAGGCAGCACCCTCCTCCCACTTGTTAGTCACTCCCCGGGACCGCAGGGCAGTGGCTCCTGTGTGGGGGAGTCTGCTGGCCATGGCACTGCCCATTCCAAGGGGATAGACCTCCCACCCCAAGCAATTCCCCTTTCTTTGGCCTGGCCTGAGTCCCTCAAGCTGCCCTGCTGGTGGACCCTTGACCAGCTCCGTGGGTGCCTCACCTCTTGGTTGTTCCCCTCTGAGAAGTTGGGGACACACTCCACTAGCTGGAACATGGCTGCACCTGGGTCCAGACGTGCCTCTCTCAGAACAGACAGAGGTATGTGGATGGTGCTCTCCAGGCGCCGCTGAAGCCTTTATACACAGCAGCACCCCCACCAGCTTTTCATTAACCAGGAGTCACAGCCAGGGGCACTGCGGCCATGAGCCCTGGGCAAACACAGGCTGTGCAGAGCAGACCCGAACTGTGGACAGGAGGGACAGCCCCACCTAGCTGAGGGTGGGCCCCCAGGAGAAATGTAGGACCAGGTGGAGGTGCATGTTGAGGACCCTGGAGGCCCTGGGGGTAAAGTCCAGGCCAGGTTTGAATCCCAGATGTGTCCAGGGCAACCTGGTGAACCTGTGGATGACTTCTGGGGGACCCTGTGTTGTCCTCTGGGTGGCCCTCCAGGTGACCCTCAGGGCCACTGTTTCTTCACAGAGGAGCCCAGGTCTCAGAGCTGTGGAGGGCAAGAGGTCATGCATGAGGTCTCACCATGGAGCCAGGCATCAAGCAGAGCTTAGTACAAACAGGCAGAAGGGCAGTGTGTGCATGTGTGTGACTGAGATCTTGTACATGAGTCTGTGCATTGGTGTGTGTGTGTGTGAGTGTACCTGTGGATGCCGTTGTGAGCATGTGCACGTGTGGACATTATGCGCATGAGCATGTGCATGTGTGGATGCTGGTGTAAGCACGTGTGTACAGTTGCTAATATTAGTGTTTATGCATGGATGCTAGTGTGAGTGCTTGTGTGTGGATGTTGGTATGAGCTTTGAGTGTGGATATTAATGCTAGCGTCTGTGTGTGGATGCTGGTATGAGCATGTGAATGTATGGACATTAGGGACATGAGTGTGTATGTAGGATATTAATGTTAGTGTTTGTGTGTAGATACTGCTGTGAGCATATGCATGTGTGGATGTTAGGTGCATGAGTGTGTGAGTGTGTGTGTGTGTGTGTGAATATTAATGTCAGTGTCTGTGTGTGGATACTGGTGTGAGCATGCACGTGTGCTGCTGGCAGGGTCAGCAGGTGAAAGAGGTCCCAGTTCTCCTAGCTGCTGTTTCCCAAAGCTGGGGGCTCCCAGGAAGGTCAATGGCAACAGGGTCATGCTCAGCAAGGCTGACTCCTGTCTCAACATTCCACTGTTGCCTACTTTAAGTTCTTAATGGAACCTCCAGCCAGGTAGGTCTCTAGAACTCCACCTCCTGTAGCTCAGACTGAGACAAGGGAGGGGCCAGGTGAGCCCAGATACCCTCAGAGGCTAGGGGCACACAGAGTCTCCCAGCCAGGGCTCCATGTCTGGAGGCTGGGAGGGAGGATGGACTCTGTGGTGGGCTGATCTGCTTTCCCCCAAAAATCATATGCTGAAGTCTTAACCCCCAGTGCTTCAGAATGTGACTATATTTAGAGACAGGACCTTTACAGAGATCATTAAGGTAAAGTGAGATTAGTGGAAGGCTCTGATCCAGTGTGACAGGTGTCCTCATAAGAGGAAGAGACTCCGGGGTGCACACACATGGAGAAAAGGCCACATGAGGAGCAAGAAGAAGGTGCTGCCTGCATGACAGGGAGAGAGGCCTTAAAATGGAATCTGCTGACACTTTACTTTCAGGCTTCCAGCCACCAGGATGGTGAAAGAACACATGTCTGGTTTAAGCTGCACAGTCTGGTCCTCTGTCAGGCAGCCAGAACCAACTAATCCAGGATCCCTGGGTGCTAGGGTATGCAGAACATGCCATTTGTGAGAGCCCAGAGCCCCCATCCTGGACTGGCTAGAAGTTCTAGCATCTTCATCCTCTACCATAGCAGAGTGACCAAAACCATCCACTCATAGCCAAATTCCAGGATGGTACCAATGCCAACCTGATCCTGTCTGTGGGATCCAGCAAAGTCACCTGTCAGGTGAAAGGAATGCAAAGCAGGCCCTCTGGCAGAAGCCGTGTAACACTTCCCACAGAGCTGGCCAGGTTTGGCCGGCTGGGAACATGAAGCAGGAGCAGGGGTAGTTCTGAGACTTTGGAAACTTTGGTAGGTGCTCTAAATAGCTCCTGAATAGGGGACCCTAGGGCAACCCATTTAGAGGAAAAAGGATTTCAGTAGTGCCCAGATCCAGGTTTCCACTAACCTTCTCCAGTAACAGGACCCTAGGCTCCTGACTCCAGGACCAGGCAGGACACACACATGATGAGCCTGGAGCACTTTTATGAGCCAAAGTATAAGACAAACATCCATGAGGCTATATATAAATGATTGAATAAATAAATAAAGATAAAGGAGAGACTGATCTCTCATGCAGAAGAATCCCAAATAGTCCACACTGCACTTGGTCCTCAGGCAAGTGGGCACAGCTCCCCTGCCCCTTAGATGTGGGTTGCAGCCAGGACACCAGGCCTGGCCTGTGCTCGCCTCCATCCAAGCAGGCAGATGTCATCTCCCTAATCTCACTGCCCTCTCATCCATGGATAGGGAGAACACGTGCCCAGGACCAGGATGCTGCCCCTACTCTAGGGCCTGTGAGTAACACACCCTCACTTCAAGGTTGTCAACCTGCCATCCCTGATTAAAACAGATCCTATACATTTCATTATGCCCTTTCCACTCCAGGTTTGCTGACTGCATCGACTAGCCAGCACTGAGGGGAAGTGGCCTCAGAACCCCTTGTGAACTGGACTATGCAGCTGCAGCCCTGGGCCTGGGGTCTGGAGTGCCTTGTCTGGCTCCAGTGTCAGCCCCAATGTGGATGTGGTCTGTGGTTATTCTTGCTGCCTGGCTTCTCTAGCCCCAAAGGCCAACAGGCAGCACCAAGTGAGCATCTCCCAAGGACCAGCAAACCCTGCCCTCTGCCAGGGATGAAGTCTGGCCCCTCCCCAGGGCCTCACCCACCTGCTCCCAGCAGAAGTCATCAGAGTGGAAAATAGCTACTGGCCATGGGGTCCCAATGCACCAACCTGGCTCTGAACTGCCCCCTCCCCATCATGGGTGCTGCCTAGTGCTCAGAGACCAGTTCAGGGACCAGACTGGGAGTGGTCACCTGTGCAGCATGGTTGTGTCCTCTTGAATCTGAATGCCATATCACTCCAGAGCTTTGGGACTGGGCATCCCTTCAGCCCCCAGCCCACATCGATTCAATGAGGGCTCCACCCTCTTGCTGCCTGAGGCTGGCTCTGGCCATAGGTGTGGCTGGTGCAGGGAGGTAGCCCCTGGGGGACTGGAATTGATGGGCTGATTCTCCAGCTCCCCTGCCTAGGAAGGATTCTGAGGGATTTCCCCCCGTCATGGTCTCCTGGGTGTCCCATGGCTCATCCACTTGTCAGCACACCACAGAGGGGCTTCCCCTGCCCTGTGATGCTCCAGTTTCATGAGTCATCTCCCGGATAGCCGGCCTGCCTTGGGCAGAGCCGTCTGCTCTGGTGCACAGCAATCCAGCTGGGTTTAATGCTCTGTCGTTGCAGTATTGAAATTCGTGGTTTCTGAACAAGGGGTAGGTTTTCACTTTGCACAGAGCCTGGATGCCAGAACTCAATCCTTGCCACAAGCGCTGCATTTGAGGAAACCCAAACTGGGAGGGACTTCTGTGGATGCAGCCTGTACCCTCTGGGGGAAGGCAGGTGGGCGGCGTGCTGAGGCTGGGGGCCCAGCTCCCGGCCCTGCCCCTCGGGCTCCGTCCACAGCTTCATTCCGCCAACTGGAACTGGCACCTCCTGCGGTGAGCCGTGAGCAGTGACCGAGGCGCCCGCCACGCCCTCAAAGAGCCAGGTGAAGGCAGACAAGTGAACAGACGACTTTAATAAAGTGCAACAAGTGCTCCGCGGCGTGGGCGGCGGGTTGAGGCGGCGCAGGGGGAGGCGCCGGTCCCGGTGCGCAGCGGCCCTGCCCCTCCGGGCGGACGCAGGAGGCAGCGCGCCCCCAGGTTTGGTACAAACACGTTTATTCAGGAAAGGCGGCGCAGGCGGCTCACCAGGCGAAGAGCGGCTTGCTGTCCTCTTTGGAGAGCTCGCACAGGCAGTTGAGCAGCAGCAGCGAGTCGCCCAGGAACTTGGGCGGCACCACGTCGATGACCAGCTTGCGCAGCGCGGCGGGACTGCTGTGCAGCGGGTTGGCTCGCAGGTCGGGCCGCTGCTTGAGGATGCCGTAGGTGTTGATAAGAAACTCGCTGAACACTGGATGCACGTCGCGGTTGTAGCCCAGCTTCTCCAGGCGCGCGGACAGCGTCAGGTAGCGGTGAGTCAGCGCTCGCAGCTTCTGCTCGTCCACTGAGCCGTCCAGGGACTTGATGGACGTCTGCGGGGCGGGGGTGGGAGGGGCGGAGTGGGATATCAGGGCGGGCTCGGGTTTAGACCAGGAAACCGACGCCCAGACCCAATCCTGCACGGCCCTGCCCGGCGCACCTCATCCCCATTTCCCTCCGGCAGACAGTGTTGGGAACCGAAGCCGGGACCTCTGGTGCCTTTCAAGGACCGGCGCCCGGGACTGATCAGGCACGAGGTGGAGACGAAGGACTCCCCGCGCCTTGGACGTGGGCTGCGGACACTCCTGAGGGCCCAGACCCGCCACACCCGCGGACGCCTGTGGTAGAGCAGGAGCCCCTTCCGCATCCCCTTTCTCTTCCCCTCCCCCTTCCCAAGGGTAGCGCGGTCTCGCCCGCGCACCTGCTTGATCTTCTCGGGGATGTTGGACACGGTGAAGCCATAGAGCCGCGTCACACCCGGGAAGACGTAAGCCAGGATGCGGCGATCCAGCTGGAATGCGATCTCGCCCACCACGCGCGCGTCCTTCTCAGCGCCCGCGAAGCTCTGGATCTCTGCGAGAGAGGGGAAGAGGCCGGGTCAGGGCAGCTGACCCTGTAGCACACCAAACCTTTTTAAGGGAACAGATCAGGGGTGGATGCGGTGGCTCACACTTGTAATCACAGCAATTTGGGAGGCGGAGGAGAGAGAATTGGTTGAACTCAGGGTTTCTAAACCAGCCTGGGCCACATGGCAAGACCTCGTCTCTACAACAAATACAAAAATTATTGATAATGGCCATTCTGACTGGAGTTAGGTGGTATCTCAGTGTAGTTTTAATTTGCATCGCCTTGATGACTAGTGAGGTTGAACATATCTTCATGTATCTGTTGGCCGCTCGTATGTCTTCTTTTGAGAAGTGTCTTTTGCCACTTTGTAATGGGGTTGTTTGTTTTTTCTTTTCAGCTTTTGTCAGACATGGAGCTGGTAAATACTTTCTCCTAGTCTGCGGGTTGTCTCCCTGCTCTCTTGGTGGTTTCTTTGGCTTTGCAGAAGCTTGTCAGTTTCATAAGGTCCCACTTGTCTATCTTATCTCTTATGTGCATATCGGGTTTGTTTCAGGAATGGGATGCCAGTTCCAACTTCCATAAGGGTCCTGCATTTTCTAAAGTTATTATGGTTTGAGGTTTTACATTTAGGTCTCTGATCCATTTAGAGTTAATTTTTGTGTTTGGGGATAGAAAGGGGCCCCGTTTGAATCTTCTGCATGTGGTCAGCCAGTTTTCCCAGCACCATTTACTGAATAGGTTCTCCTCTCCCCAGTGGTGGGTGGTGGAGGCTTTGTCGAAGATGAGGGAAACTATGGGTGGGGCAAGGAGGGGAAGGGAGGTGGGATTAACGGTAGTCAATATCTGTTTGGGGACTGGGGGGGCATACCTCATCAACAAGGATACCTGCACAATGCATATTTGTACACCTAACCCTTAACTGTACCCCCACAATTTTAAAATAAAAAATATATTAAAAAAAAAATTAGCCGGGCGTGGTGGGCTGCGGTGGAAGTATCACCTGAGCCCAGCAGGTCGACACACTCACCGCCACTGCACTCCAGCCTGGGTGACAGAGTGAGACTCCAACTCAAACAAAAAAGTGGGGGGCGGGATAGATCCACTGCCCCCAGGGTTACTCTGCCACCAAAAGGTGCGGCTCCTCCCCTCCCCCACTGTCGAGGTAGCTACAAATCTCAAAGAAAATGGGCCAGGCACAGTGGCTCACAACTGTAGTCCCAGTACTTTGGGAGTCCAAGGTGGGAAAATCATTTGAACCCAGATCAAGACCAGTCTAGGCAACATAGTAAGACCTTGTCTCCACAAAATATAAACAAACAAGGCAGGCGTGATGGTGCTCACCTGTAGTCCCAGCTACTTGGGAGGCTAAGGCAGAAGAATCAGCTGAGCCCAGGAGGAGACTGCGGTGAGCCAGAATCGTGCTGCTGCATTCCAGACTGGGAGACAGAGTGAGACTCTGACTCAACAACAACAACAAAAGCCAAGAAAACTGAACTTTTGGACTTTTGGGTACCGAAGGGCAAGACACCTTTTCTCTCCTCACCCTGTTCTTAGAGAGTTTTCCTGGGAAACTTAAGAGAGGCAACTCCTTTCTCCCCCTATGGGGTGAATGTAAACCTTTTAAAGGCTGAGGGAACCTATGGCCTATTCTAGGGGAGGAATGTTTTTCTTGTTCCCTTTTATTCTATTGCATGAATATATCATATTTCTCCATCCATCAACTGATGGACGTTTGAGTTTTTCATTTGGGGGTGTTATGAATAAGGGTGCTATGAACATTCATGTAAAAGCTTTTGTGTGGCTGTGTCGTTTTCAATTCTCTGCACCTAGGGATGGAATTGCTTGGCCATATAGTGGTTATGTTTAACTTTCTTCTTAAGTGGCTGTATCACTTTAACACTCCCATCAGCAGTACATGCTCCAAGTTCTCCACCTTACAGCACATGGTGCCGGCCATTTTTTAAATTAAAGCCCTCCTGGTGGATGGAAAATGGTCTGTCACTGGATTTACTGATGACTAGTGATGTTGAGCATCTCTTTGTGAGCTTATTGGCTATTTATATACTGTATCTTCTTTGGAGAAATATCTATTCAAATGAGTCCTTTACTCATTTTTAATTGGGTTGCTTTTTTTTAATTGTTGAGTTACGAATTCTTAAATATTCTGGATACTAGTACCATATCAAGTGCATGATTTACAAATGTTTTCTTCCTTCTGTAGGTCAACTTTTCACTTCCTTGATTGAAAGAGTGAAATGCCAAAACAGGGTCACCTCGGCCATTGCGGGCAGGCAGCTGGGTGTTGGCTTCAATCTTTGTTGTGTTATAATTACCAATTAGTGATATACTTTAGCAAATAATATTTTATTATGTAATTGACTCTGCTAATTCTATTGCTCTGAAGTAAGTTTAATTAACTCCAATGTTTAAAGTCATCAATGAGTAAAACTAGTAAAACTATAACCTCCCCTAGTAACGGGCATTAGGATTTTATAATTAACATCTTGCTCCAAGGATGAGTTTCTAGCTATCTTGCATGACAAACCATAGGGACACTGAGATAAAAGAAATGAACTGTTATAATGACTCCAGCCCTCCTACAATCTTCCCATGAACAACACACTCCCAGCTAAATGTCTTTCTGTTCCCTAAATCCAAGGATATTCAAAGCTTAACATTTGTGCCTTGAAACTTTTGTTTTAGACCTTGGGCTACTCTCCCTACTTAGGTAATCAACTATCTAGCTGCTGCCTTCATGAATAGCTAATAGCTGTGACAACAGTACTTCCCTCCCTCTCCTCCACCTTGTTACATTCACAAGAATACTCCTGTTTCCAGCCTTGCTAGGAAGCCTTATAAGCACCCAGCTTCAAACATGCAGTGCCAAACACTTCTTCAGTGCTCGGCCCTCTCTTCAATCTTATTTACCTTCTAAATAAACTTTTTCTAACCTAATCCTTGTGCAATTATTTGCATCTTTCACACGGCACCAGATTGCACAACTCCACCCTGGCTCTTTTAACCTAACATTTGAAGACCTCACTGGGATCTATATATATATATATATTAACCTAACATAGATATTGTCCTTTGAAGCACAAACTTTTTTACTTTTGATAAAGTCCAATTTACCTATTTTTCTTTTGCTGCTCATGCTTTTAGTGTCATATCCAGGAATCCATTGCCAAATCCAAGGTCATGAAGATTTAACCCTATGTTTTCTTCTAAGAATTTTATGGCCTCGGCTCTTTTATATATCTCTTAAGTGTTTGGGCCATTTTGAGTTAGTTTTTGTACATAGTATAAAGTAAGAATTCAACTTCACTCTTTTGCATGTGGACATTCACTTGTCCCAGCACCTGTTTTTAAAGACTATTCTGTCTCCATTGAATTGTCATGATACTCCTGTCAAAAACCATGCAATATGGGTTTATTTCTATATTCGGTTCTACTCCATGAGTCTGTATGTCTATTATGGCAGTACCACTCAATCTTGATGGTCATAAGTTTTATAATAAGTTTCAAAACTGGGAAGTGTTAGTCTTTCAATTTCATTCTTCTTTTTCAAGATTGCTTTACCTATTCTGGGTCCCTTGCATTTCCATATGAATTTAAGTTTCAGCTTGTCAATTTCTGCAAAGGAGCCAGCTGGGATTCTATAGATCAATACGATATCTATCAAAACTATTGATTATTGGGCAATATAAAGTCTTCCAATTCATGCTTACAGATATTTTTCTATTTATTTAAGTCTTCTTTAATTTCTTCCAACAATCTTTTGTAGTTTTCAATGTATTTCTTTCCTAGTGCATTTCTCTCACCGGGAATCAAGTTCTTTCCCCCATACCTCCCTTTCTAAATCATAAATTAGGCAGATGAAACATGCTATACCTGAGATGTTCTAGAAGTCATTTCTAGTCCAACCTGGGCCCTCTAAGATCCAGTCACAAACCTATTCTTCAAAGAAAAAAAGTCAATACAATTGATAAACCTCTAGCTAAACTTAGGGAAAAAAAGAAAAGACAAAAATCACCACTATCAGAAATTAGTGGCAATATATTGTCCTTGAGTAAAGAATCTTATGAGTTCTCTCAAATTATTGATACACTAATTAATGAATAACCTTCTGATACTGAAAGGGATATTGATTTGTTTCTGAATCAAAAGTTTTACTGACTGTTTTGCATAGAGACATTTTTAGCCTGTGTGGTGTAATCTGCGTCCAGTGATTGCAACCTCTGTACTGTACCTTCAAATGAAAAAGGTCAACTCCAATGTGAGGAGCCCCTTCCTTCTCCTAAACTTTTCCATAAGAACCCTCCAGCTTATAGCAGACTCTAGAACATGCCCAACTTTGTTGATGTGTCTTCCCAGATTCTCACATTTAGCTTCCAGTAAACCTTTATAAATTATTTCTGCCACAACAGCTTTAATTTTAGTCAATATATCCATAACATGAAAGTTGTAGGGAGTAAAAACATTCCTGAAGGAAAAATTCAAGGCTCAAATAATTTCACTGGTGAGTTTTACCAAACATTAAGGAATAAATACCAATTTAACACAAACTCTTCTAGATAACTGAAGAGGAAGGAGCACTTTCTACCTCTACCTCATTCTTTCAGGCCAACATTAAACCTGATACCAAAAACAAAGAATGACATTACAAGAAAACTACAAAGCAATATCCCTCATAGCACAAATTCTTAACAAAATTTTATCAGATTGAATCTAACAGTACAAAAAAATATAATATATCATGACCAAATGGGGTTCATCTCAGGAATAGACATTTGGTTTGACAAATTCAAAAATCAATCAATGTGACTTATCATAATAATGGATTACAAATGACAACCAAGTGCTAATCTCAGTAGATGCATAAAAGGCATTTGATAAAATCCAACATCTGTTCATGATAAACTAGAAATTGAAGAGAACTTATTCAATCTGATGAAGGGTGCTACAAAAGCCTTAGCTAACATCATACTTAAAGGCGACGGAAAGCTTTCACCCTGAATCAGGAAAAGCTTTTCCTCCTAAATCAGGAAAAGACAAGGATGCCCACCATCACCACTTCTATTCAACATTGTTCTAGAGGGTCTAGTCAGTACAATAAGAGGAAAAAAAAATAAAGAAAAGGCATACAAGTTGGAAATGAAACAATAAACTTATCTTTATTCATAAACAACATAATAGTCCATTTAGAAAATCTTAAATCCACAAAAATACTGCTAGAATAAATAAATGAATTTAGGTTGCAAGCTATAAGGTTGTATTAGTTAGGGTTCTCCATAGAAACACAACCAATACAACCAATAGATTTTGTGTGTGTGTGTGTGTGTGTGTGTGTGTGTGTGTGTGTGTGTGTAAAAAGACCTATACAAGGAATAGCTCACACAGTTATAGAGGCTAAAAAGTACCAAGATCTGCAGTTGGGAAGCTGGAGATTCAGGAGAGTCTATGGTGTAGTTCCTGTGCGAAGGCTAGAAGGCTTGAGAATAAGGAAGAGCCAATGTTTCTGTTCATGTACAAAAGCAGTCAGGCAAAAGGAATTCTTTCTTACTTATAGGAGGGTCAGCCTTTTATTTAAGCCTTCCACTGAGTGGATGAGACCCACCCACATTAGGGGAGGGCAATCTGCTTTATTCAGTCTACCAAGTTAAATGTTAATCTCATACAAAAACACCCTCACAGATACACCCAGAATGTGTGACCAAATATCTGGGTGCCCTTGTGGCCTAGTCAAATTGAGACATAAAATCAACCATCAGAGGGACCAATGTACAAAAATCAACTGTCTTACTATATACTAGAAACAAAGAGGGGGTAGGCGGTGGGGGAAAAATAAAAGAAACTTCTGGTGTCAGAAATTGATATTGATAAGACAGTATGATTTAGTACAGCATCATAAACATAAGCTTCTAAGTGGTAAATTTGACAAAAATGTACAACAAAAATGTACAAGACTTGTACATGGAAAACTATAAAACATTGCAGAGAAAAATTGTTAGAGGCCTAGATAAACAGACATATCCAGTAGTCATCAAAAGATCCAATGTTGTTAAGGTGTCATTGATCTAACTGATCTGTAGACCCAGGAAAATCTCAATATTCCAGTAAGCTTTTTTTTTTGAGTTGGAGTTTCATTCTGTCGCCCAGACTGGAGTGCAATAGTGACCACTCCCGGCCACCACAGCCTCTACCTGCTGGGCTCCAGCTCCGGCGATCCTTCCGCCTCAGCCTTCCGAGAAGCCGGAATTACAGGCACGCACTACCATGCCCAGCTAGTTTTTGCTTTATTGTAGAGATGAGGTCTCGCCAAGTTGCCCAGGCAGGTCTCGAAGCCGCGGGCTCAGGCAATCCACTCACCTCAGCCTCCCAAAGGCACGGGATTACAGGCTGAGCCACGGAGCCCGGCTTCCAGCAAGCTTTCTTGTAGAAATAAACAAGTTGATTCACAAATTTTAATGGAAATACAAAGGACCTAAAATAGCCAGAAAAACTTTGAAAAAGAAGGACAAAGTTGGATAGCTTAAACTACCTGATTTATATAGTAATTTAAAGATTACAGTCATTCAATACAGTGTGTACCAAAATCAATATAGACAGATAAGTAAATAGAACCATAAGGAAAATCCAGAAATAGCCTCATACACAGATGGATAATTGATTTTTGACAAAGGTGCCAAGGCAATTCCATGGGGAAAGGATAACCTTTTCAAGCACAGGTGCTGGAAGAAGTGGATATCTACATGCAAACCTCACACCATATATAAAAATTAACTTGGAATTTATCAGAGGCCTACACCTAAAACTTAAAACTATAAAAGAACACATAGGAGAGGATCTTTCTGACCTCAGGTTTGGCAAAGATTTCTTTTTTTTTTTGAGTTGGAGTCTCACTCTGTCACCCAGACTGGAGTGCAGTGGCACGCTCGTGGCCCCCGCAGCCTCGACCTGCTGGGCTCCAGCGATCCTTCCACTCAGCCTTCCAAGTAACTGGAACTACAGGCGCGTGCTACCACGCCCGGCTAATTTTTGATTTATTGTAGAGATGAGGTCTTGCCAAGTTGCCCAGGCGAGTCTCGAACCCGTGGGCTCAGGCAATCCACTCACCTCAGCCTCCCAAAGCGTGGGATTACAGGCTGAGCCACCGAGCCCGGCTAAGATTTCTTACACTGAACACAAATACATGAAATAAAAAATTTTTAAAAATCAATACACTGGACTTCATCAAATTGAACAGTTTTGTTCATCAAAAAACATTATTATGAAAATGGAGCACTCCAGCCTGGGCGACAGAGTGAGACTCTGACTCTAAATAAATAAATAAGAGGTATACTGAAGTACAAAAAAGAAAGAAAGAAAGAAAGAAAGAAAGAAAGAAAGAAAGAAAGAAAGAAAGAAAGAAAGAAAGAAAGAAAAGAAAGAGAGAAAGAAAGAAAAAGAAAAGAAAGAAAGAAAAAGAAAGAAAGAAAGAAAGAGAAAGAAAAGAAAGAAAGAAAGAAAGAAAGAAAGAAAGAAAGAAAGAAAGAAGAAAGAGAGAAAGAAAAGAAAGAAAAAAGAAAGTGGAAAAGCCACAGACTGGGAGATCATATCTGCAGTATGTATGCCCAAAAAAGGGCTTGTATCCGGAATACATAAAGAAGTCACAACTCCACAAGAGGAAGATAAGCAACCCATTTTTTTTTTAAAGAGCAAAATGTTAGGACAGATGCAGTCCTGGACCCCAGTCTCCCCGCCTGGCTCTCCTCCCTCTGTATCGCTACATTGAGAACCTGGGCCAAATGTGGCACCCAGATGCACCTTCCCCCACAACTACCTGCCTGCACCCTAGGGCCAACCCAGGGGCCTCCCCTGTACCCTGACATACCGTTAAGGTAGTAGCTCCTCCTGGTCCTGTCCCCAGTGGGTAGGCTGCTCTCTGAGAAGCACACCTTCTTAGGCCGGACCGTCTCCCTAGGCTCCAGCAGGCTCTTGTCCACCAGTGAGTCCTGCAAGGGGCTCGGGAGTGGGGACAATTTCCTGTCGGCACCTCGGGGGGTGCGCAGCTCTGGGGAGCTGAGGAAGGCCTTGAAGGGTACCTGGGAAGGGGTTGCGCAGCCTGGGGAGGTGTCATCCTCGCTGGAGAGGGGGGCGTGTGAGCACAGCAAGTCTTCCAGGGAGGACGTCTGCAGCTGTGAGGGTGTGTCATGGACATTGGTGAACCTTCCGAAATCTGAAACTGGGGTGGGGAAGAAAAGAAAGAGAAGTCACAAGCTGATGCTCCTAAAACATCCCCGGGAAATGTAGAGAATTCATTAATGAACCCTCATGTACCTACTCTAAGCTCTGACACCTGCTGGCATTTCCCAGAGCCCTCCTTCTTCTCCCCTGGCCTCAAGTGAGGGAGGAGGTGCTGGGCACAGTGAAAGGACTGTGGGCGCCTGCTCTGCCTGGGAGAGCACTCACCTCTGTTTGTGGGCACAGTAAGAGAGCATGCCTCCATGTGCTTCCTCCCACTGCAGAATGATTTCACTATGCTTTTTAAAAATTACATAAATGCTATCATCCTACACATTTTATTCTGAAACATAGTTTTTTGCTGCAGCATTACCTTTTTGAGATTTATCCAGGTTGAATCATTTGGAAGCTACTTGGCTCCAGTCAGCGTTTCCTGGCCCATGTGTGCACATGAGCACACACACATATATATTCTATTCATTGCCTTATTGATGGACATGGGCTGTTCCCAGGTTTTACTGTAAAGCGAAGCTGTGACCAACCTCCTTGTTCAGTGACCATCCTCTGTGGGCTGCAGCTGAACTCAAGCATGTTCAACTCTTTGCTTACCACATCATAACCAACAGATCCTGATCCCAAACCTTCACCAGAACTTGGCATTCCCAGACCAAGCTGATGAGTTCATGTGGCATTTCCCTAATCCCAGGTCATATTTAAATTATCTATTCTTTTACGGTTTATGAATTTCTTTTCTATCCCATGTCATGAGTTTATTCTCTTAGTAATAAAACAAACACATATTTGAGAAACCATGTTTAAAGCCGTATCAAAAAATTATAACTTAAAATGTGCTTACAAAGGAACCAACTAGTCTAGTCCAACTAGTCTTCTAAGAAAAAACAATGTTCAATAAAGAAAAGTCACCAGTATGTGTCCTGCTTCTTGTCCATGTGGAAGGCTGGTTAGTCCTTGAGGGCTTCACAGCTTTCCACCCCAGATGCTTTCTAAATTACAAAGACTATTATTTATATCAAATGTCTAAATTCTAAAACAAAACAAAACAAAAAACCCTAAGAATATCATACATACATACAACTGTGTGTTAATTAAACATTTAAATAAAAGGAGATATCTTCTGAGAAATTACTTTTAAATGACTCAATAAGAAGTAGAAAACCTGGTTGGATGTGGTGGCTCATGCCTGTAATCCCAGCACTTTGGAAGGTCAAGTCAGGAGGATTGCTTGAGCCCAGGTGTTCAAGACCAGCCTGGGTAACAAAGTGAGACTTTGACTCAAAAAAAAAAGTAGAAAACCTAAATGAATCAATAAACAAGAAAAATCTAAAAGTTAAAAAATAATTATTCCCCCAAAGACTGTAGGCCTAGGTGGTCTGTGAGTGAATTCTGTCAAGTTCCCAAACAATTCACAATTCCTACATCATCTAAACAAGGTTGGAACACTAAATAAAAGTAAAAGATGCTCAGCTAAGGTTCAAAATTTGTCAAACTCTGATAGCAAATTCCTACAAAGATAACCCCCAGAAAGAAAACTGTTGCCCAGGCCCATGTAGGAACAGAGTCCAGAAATAATCACACAAAACCTCAACCAAACACAGGTCAGCAGCAGACCAAAGGAGGCAGATTTGCTGCCAGACTGGCTGCTACCCCTGGAACGAGAGATCCTAGGAAGAAGTTGAGGGCACCTCCACCAACACAGAAAAGGGGTCATAAAAACTAAACAAAAGGAGCCATCTCTCACTTTTTTTGTTATTCTTAAAAAATAACAACTAAAAGGGCTCTTCCTCAGTGCCCAGGCTGTGCACCCCCCCACCCCACCCCACCCCTGGTAGATGGGGCCGCTGTCACTCCCCATAGCCTGCCAGGAAGCCCATGGTATGGGTTGAAACCCTCTTCCACTTTCCCTGGAAGAGGAACATAGAAGTCAAGGTCAGAGCCACAGTTCTGAGTTTAAAGACAAAGACAGAAATAAGAAGCAATTCATTCAGAATGACAATTTATAATTAATACGACTATAGACATAGGAAACGTAAGAGAATGAATTGGAACACTTAGCAGAATAAAAACAGCCCAGTGAAATGGCTGGATGTGGGAATGAACATTTATAAGTCAACAGTTTTCCTACATAACAGTGCTGATTACTCTGAAGACACAATGGAAAAAGAATGTTCTTCAGTAATTGCAACAAATAACAAAGCACTCAAGGAATGTAAGTTACTAACTGATAGACTTAGAAAATGTGAAAGGTATATATGAGAAATAGCTAACAAGACTTAAGAGTTAGAATAGCCTAATATAACTAACATATAAAATCATGCTAAGGATATGTTAAAGAATAAAAAGAATACCATAGAAAGAATACCATACCAAGAATACATAGAAAAATGTATTTTTAAAAATGTAGCCCTGTGTTCTGAACCAGTGATTCTATTTTTAGAAAAATAAATCCAAAGGAAAACCCTATATATTAAAAAGCAATCAAACAAACTTTGTACTGTTGTTGACCTCAGGAGGAAAAAGAACTTTAATTTCAAACATGAGAAGAGTTCATTACATTGTGGTTCATTTGAATCTGCAAAATCGCCCAGCCATTTAAAACATATTTATAACAACACAGGGATGATCTTAGATCATGATGTCATAGGGAAAGAGTGACCAAGCACTGCACACAGAGAATACTGACAACAATTTAAAATCATGACATTCCATTCCACCAACAACACTAATGGTCGACTAGACAGCTGGAGGACCCAGCAGCTAACAACGTGGGCTATACTTTCAGGTGATGCAACAGCTCCCAGGTGGAGACATCTAGTGGCATCGCAGTCGTGCCTTAGGGACCAAGATGGCGCCGTAGGAAACAAGAAATGGAGCAGCTGAGGCAGGGAGCAAGGAGATGGCTCCCTCTGGTCCTTCTGCATCACTCACTCATAAATCCTCAAGGGAAACGGCCCCAAGAAGACCCAAAGGCTTCACAGGGACAGATGTGGACTTTTGTGATGTTGGGAAGATGCCTGCTCAGTGCCCTCCTCTTCCATTGGTGAGGCCTAGAGGCATTTGGGAGTGCATTTGGCAGTCTATATCAACATTTCAAATGCACTTGGATTCTGGCCCAAGGAACCCACATTTAGGATTTCCCCTGCATAGCGTCGCAGAGTACGCATGCAGGCCAACCTCGGCAACACCAGGTGTGTCAGCAGGAGTGGGAAGTGGTGCTACCTGCTGTGATGTCCCAGCTGAAGGAGCCCAACATGCTGGGCAGTTCTGCAGAAGAGGACTGATGAAAATGACAGTGAGATGAATGGCTATGGGAAAGTCAAATTGTGGAGCAGCACAACCAGAAAGATACACAGATGGACACACGTATCTCCATCATGTTTCCAGAGAGGATCTGAGAAAATGTTAATCACACTGCCCTTGGGGAGCAGGGCCATGGGCTGAGCCCTAAATGTTATATCCAGTGCAGCATTTATAAGTTTGCCATGAGTACATGTTGTTGACTAAGTAAGAAAAACAGATTTTTAAAGCACGCATCCTGTTTTGAACACAGACTCTTAGGACTCTTGGAAACATACGAACCACTGCTGTGTGGTGGTTCCATTCTGTTTATAAATTTCAACTTTCTTGCAAGCACTCTAGACTGATATTCAAACTTGTGGGGTAAATGCAGGACATATGCCCTGCTCCCTCCTTCCCTTGCTGATGACTGTTTCTTGACTGGGAGAACGGCCCCTGGCCAAAGCTGTTTGTGTCCAGTCGAAATGCCCTTGAAGATATGCACATGCTGAGGGCTAAGGCCTGAACACAGAGTCCCCGAGCCCTGGGCATGCTCCCAAGCACACTCTCGGGTCAGAGCATCACAGGTGCTCCCAAGCACCACCACTAAAGTGATAGAGTTTGGAGGATAGCTCTGTCCACACACACATCCATTGTCCAACACACCTGGCCAGAGGCCCAAAGCTAGTATGGACCCACAGTGGGCCTGGCCCATGTCCTGTTGCTGGGTTCCAAGGCTGCCAGTGGAAGGCATAGTGGCCTCAAGCTGGGGCTCTTCCTGAGACCCATGTTCAGTAAGTCCTGGGCTTCCTGAGGTGACCCAAGAGCGGGGGACACTGGCCACACTTGTGGAGATCCAGCCCTGACTCTGGACAGTTCTGCAGAAGAGTGATGGAGTGACAGTGAGATAGATGGTCAACAGGAAAGCCAAATTGCAGAGCAGCACAGCCAGAAACATACACAGATGTACAGATGTACACATTTCTAGAGAGAAACCTGAAAAAATACTGATCATGCTGCCCTTGGGGAGAGGGGCCAGGGGACAAGGGTCTCTCCAGGGTCCACATGGCCTGAGTGAGGGTCTACACCTCTCCTCACAAGGGAGGCCCTAATGCTCTCTCCACAGCTTATCGCATGGTCAGTTTTGAGCCCTGACGTCCAGTCCAAGGCTGACTGAATCCTTGGATAGGGGGCAGGTGTAGTGGCTCATGCCTGTAGTCCCAGCTACTTGGGAGGCTGAGGAGGAAGGATTGCTTGAGTCTAGGAGGTAGAGGCTGCAGTAACCTATGACTGCACCACTGTACTCCAGCCTGAGCAACAGAATGAGACTCTGTCTCAAAAAAATAAATAAATAAATCTTGGGAGGAAGGACAATGATGCAGCATAGAACACACGAATTTTGACAGCTGTCACATGCCAACAAGACTCGGAACAAGGCCACAACACACCAGCCTATGGTCGCCATGAAGAAGACTTGGCACATGACCCAACCCATGATGTGCCAGTCCTCAGCAAACACCTGTGGCAAGCATGGAGAGCTCAGTGGCTGCTGGTGGGGACACAGAACCCAGAGCCTCCCACGGTTGGGCTCTGAGGACATCAGGCTCTACAGCCGTGGGCAGCGACACTGTCTCCACCCTCCTGGCAAGGCACTCTCCTCCTGCCAACGTCCTCGCCAAGGTCTCTTGGACACTGAAGACTTTGGAATGCTGCAATGCACCCCTCGCACCCAGGATGTGCTCACTATCAGGTTTTGGGCCCACGTGCTCGGTGCAGGGACCTGCCTACTGACCACGGAAGCCTCCCTGCATGCTGCGCCTGCCCAGAGGGATACACATCTGAGGGTGAAGGCAGGCATCCTAGGTGGACTCTGGGAAGTGATCACACTGAGTACAGGACCTGGAGCATCCCCTCAGTGGGCAGCTAGCTAGACCTCCAGGTGTGGCTAGCTCTTGCATATAGTGGGTTTCTGGGCACTGGCAAGGTTACCTGTTCCATCATCAAGGACTGGGCAGGTTGGTCATGTCCTGTCCCCTCCTTGGCAGTCCAAGCAGTGCTGGAGTAGGGCTCCATCCACTGTCCCAGCAAAGGTCAGGGTCACACCCACCAACCATTCCCCAAATCCCATGTGTGAAAGGTTTCCAAAAACCTTTTTTTAAAAAAAAGCTGCAACTTTTGCAGAAAGTGATCAAATTCTATTTTTTTCTGTAAAGTGCCACAGAAAACTGGAGTCAAAACCATGTGGTGAATGGGTCATGACCCACACTCTCTCCCTTCCAAAACAAGTGTCTCACCCACACCTCAACCACCTTGAGACGCTCCCACTAGAGTGGGCACTTCCCCCTTGGCACTAGGCTTGCTTTGGCCCATGGCGTGTGAGTGGAGGGGACACAAGAGGCATGAAGCGTATGCGGCTGGTACATGGTCACTGCCCGCTGCCTGAGGAGAGACACATGCAGCCAGGCAAACTGCTTCAGCCAAGCCTAGCCTGGGGAGCTGACCTGGTAACCGAGGCCATGAGACTGCATACTTTCTTTTTTTACCCCTGTGGGACACTTCCCTGACTGTGGCTGATAGGTCCCCGCTCAAGTGACCCACTCACCACTCAACTTTCCAGGTGTGGACTTCGTGACCCAGAGAGGAGAAGGGCCTTACTTGAGGACACACAGCAGAATGAGCAACTTGGTCTTGATTAACCCAGACCTGAGGTTGCAGAAGGTGCCCATGACCACTGGCATCAGCAAGATGGGTCCTGTTGTCCTGAGCTGACAGTCTCACCTCCCACTTGAGGGGAGCAGGCCCCCATGACCCCGTCAGCCAGGCTGGACCTCACTTCCACTTGAGGGGTATGGGACCCTGTAACCCTGTCAGTCAGGCTGGACCCTACTGGGCCTCACCTCCACTCCTGGAGAGCAGGCCCCTGTGACCCCATCAGCCAAGCTGGACCCTGCTAGGCCTCACCTCCATTCACAGGTGAGCAGACCTCAGGGTAGGCCGATGCCTTGGGGAAGAGCAGGTCGCGGCTTGCGCGGCTATAGCCATCCTGACAACTCTCACTGAGCAGCCTCTTCAGCATCTGGTTCTCCTTCATGAGGCGCACCTGCTTCTTGAGGTCTGCATTCTCGCTCATGAGCCTGTTCATCAGCTCGCTCCCCTCAGCCATGGCAAGTCCTCAATGCTCAGCCTGCCCCATGGAGATGGAAACCCATAGCTGGATTCTACACAAACAGCCCAGGCTACAGAGCTCTGCATGCCTGGCCTTCTGAGGCCTTGTGATGTCGCTGCCCTTAAAGAGGCAGTACCACCCTCCCACTGGCACTCTCCCAACCTCCACCCCACCTCACCCCACAAATGTCTCCCAGTCCAACATCTAAAGCAGACTCAGCCCCAGCCTGCAGCAGAGAACCCTAGGCCCACAAAGCACCCAGGCAAACACCTCTCATATTGTGAGAGGAACCCATGAGCCCAGCGAGAACACAGAGAGGGTAGATGTAAGGACAGAGTGGATTCAGACGGGGCATCTGAGCAGCTCACAGGGGGTGGCCCTGGCAGTGGGAACAGCATGTGCCAGGTTCCTGAGACTGGACTGTGTGATTGTGATTGAGCAAAAGGGGGTCACTGCCCCATGTGCTAGAAGCCAATACTATGACACTGGGATTTTTAAAGAAAAGCTTTGTATTGCAAGTTGACTCGTAAGTCCAGCTCTAATCTGTCTCCTCGTGCTGGCTTCAATGCAGTAATTTTATTAGAAATGATTCAGGTGGTAGATTCTGGGATTCGCTGGTCACTGGTAGAAGGAAAGTGGTGTCTAGAACGTCAACAGGCATGCACACTTCTTTCTTCATGCTTCTTCATGTGTCCCACATGCACAATTCAGTGGGAGTTAGGATGAAACATGCAGTGGAAATTTGGGCTGTGACCTCAGCAAGCTCATTCTATGCAGACTCCCGTTAGTCATGTTGGTTCCAACAGATTTCGGCCAGTGTTTCAGCATTTTGGCATTGTAAGAAACAAAATGGTGATTCATTTTCGAAATGATTTGTTACTACACTTCCTGGTTCTTCCTTTTCTTAGTGGGCTTTTTCTTTTGGCGGACTTCCTTTGGTGGGCATTGAGACCCGATCAGAATTCAAAAACATGTATTTTACCTTATTTGTGTAGAAACTGCTTGGGTTTTACCTTATTTGTACAAAATTGTTGCTTAGGCAATGTCTGGAAAAGTAATGTAACCTCTGAAGTACTCAGCCAATGGGGAACCAGGGGAGAGAATTGTACTTTAGAGGCATAAATACACTGACTATAACTACCTCAGTGTACCTGCTCACCTGAGAGGCACCCGGTTTTGCAAGAACAAGATTAAAAAAGCTACTTCACTTTCCCAGTCTCTGAGTCTCTGTGTCATGCTTGAATGATGAAACTGAGGAAGGACAATATGATTCCGTCTCCCACCACTACGGGGGCTCATCAGCTATGGGGGCTCATTGTAGGAAGACCTACAACTGTGGAACCAGGATTGGAGGGAGAAATGCATCCCACCCAGTTTTAGGTGACTCACTCTGGTGGGGCAATCCTGGTTCTTGCTGCTCTGCAGATAAACCTGAGACCATTATCTGAGACTCAGAGGATGAGATGCTGAACAGGCAGGCACCACCCGCGGAAACCCAGTAACCTTGTGCATGAGTCAAGGTAGGAAAATTGGACTATAAGTACTGCCTTGGCGATCAGGGAAATTCTCAGAGGTTGAGTGTGTGTGGCTGTGACGTATCTCAAGATATGAAGCAAATCCTAATGCTTGCAAGAAACCTCCAGTATGCAGGGCCGTGGGGGGGTTGAGCACTTTAGGTAGGAGAAACTCAGAGTCCTAACGTTTCCAAGAAACCTCCAATAAGGAGGTTTGAACACTTTGGGAAAAACTCAGAATCCTAATGCTTGCTAAAAACCTCAGTATGGGGATTGAGCACTTTAGGTGGAACTCAGAGACTACACAGCTCACCTGGTAACCAAGAAGCAGTCTAGGCCTAGGAAGGGAGGTCAAGAGGACCCCCTTAAAATTTCCTGGATAGTCAGTTGGGGTGAATGTTAAAGAACAGGAAAAATGATTCCAAAACTAAAGGAAAGTGAAAGAAGAAAATAATTAAACTTTATATAAACTAAGGAACCAATTCACCAGTCCTCAGTGTTTTGGCTGAAATTTGGTTCCAATGAGGACTGACTTTGTCAAACTTTGGTAATCTGTGTAAACCATAAGATCTTTGTTTCATCTGAAGAAAGGGATTATGCCCTTTGTTGGCTTCCAGGAACCCTTCCTATGTTTCCCCTTTGAACAAACCTCTAGAAGAGAAAAAGAAACCTTGGGATCCGCTTTCCTGTATCGCTCCACTATAACCTCCAAGAAGACCAGGAATCTGGGGGTTCGGGGGTGGGGCAACAGGAGATGCAGATCTATCAGAAACTCAAAAACTGAGACTCCACAAGCCCTAAATCCCTGTATCCTAATTTGAAAAGAGAATTGGAACAATGCAAAAGGGATATAAAAAAAATTCCCTTTTCCCCCTGAAGGTCCAGATAAAGATTCAAAATTGTTCCTGCTAAGGGAGGTTCCCTTGGTAGTACACTTAGTAGTACAGAAGTAAGAAATTTCAAAAAAAAAAATCATTATTAAATAATCCTTTAGGATTAGCTGATCAAGTTGACCAGTTTCTTGGACCTAAAGTATATATACCTGGGTAGAAGTGATGTCTGTTTTAAACATTCTATTCACTGGTGAAAAGGGGGAATGATTCAAAGGGCTGCTATGTCTATCTGGGAACAGGAACATACCCCAGGGCCAAGAGTACAACCAGCCAAACAGAAATGTCCAATCACAGACCCCAGATGGGATAACAACAACTCAGGAGATAGAGTTAAAATGCAAGATTTAAAAGAATTAATGATTAAAGGGATCAGAGAGTCAGCCCTAAGATCCCATAATGTCTCGACGGCCTTTAAAATCTAGCAAGAGGAGGAAACTCCAGTGGCCCTTTTACAATGACTTAGAGATCAAATGAAAAAGTATTCAGGGTTAAACTCAGAAAACCTTGTAGGACAGGGCCTTTTAAAGGTTAATTTTGTTACCAAAAGTTGGCCAGACACTGCAAGAAAGTTACAAAAGCTGGAGGGATGGAATGAAAGATCTACTGAGAAATTGTTAAAAGAAGCACAAAAGATGTTTGTTAAAAGAGATGAGAAAAAACAAAAACAAAAAGCTAAAATCATGGTAAGCACTGTAGAAAGGGCAGTGGTGGGGGGGATGAGAAACCCACTTGGGCAAAACCTGGGTATCAAAAGGAGCAAACTAAAGGGAGGTTTAATCCAAAAGGAACTATAAAAAGGGAATTTAATCAAAAGGGAGCTGAATTTTATCATTGTAAAAAAAAAACAAAACAAAACCCAGAGCATTTCAAGATTGTCCTGAATTGAAGGAAAAAAAAAGTCTCCCTTATGGCACTAGATGCAAAATATGGAGGTCAGGGGTTCCCCTTTATCAAACCCCACCAGGACCCTTTGATTCTTCATTGATATTGGGGCAGCTTGCTCCTCCCTAATCTTCTAACCCCAAAATGTTCAATTTTCACCAGAAAAGTGTCTAGTCTCTGGAGTAAAAGGAGAAGGACTTCAGGTTCCTATATCTGAACCCATGATTATAAAAACTGAAACTGAGGCAATGGCAGGATCATTTGTCCCAGAAGAAGAAATAAATCTCCTAGGCAAAGACCTAATTGTCCAGATGGGCCTTAATGTAGGGATAAAACAGGGTCAACTTAAGGTCCAAATGGCACATCTCACAGAGGAAAAACAACAACAACAAAAAAAACAACAAATTAGCCCTAAATTTTGGATGAGAGAAGGAAACAGAAAAGATGAAAGAGGGGCTGCTCAAACAAGGAGGGGAAGTGGATCCTCCCTGATGGAAGAGAGATGGTTAACAAACCAATTATCGGGAAATTAATGACTATATTGCATAAGGAAAGCTATTGGTGAACTCAAGCTATATGTAACACACTCTTAAAAACCTATGGATGTGTAGGTATTTATACTATTGCTAAACAAATTTGTGAAGGATGTATAATTTGTCAGAAAATAAATAAAAGCATAATCAGGGGGTCATTAAAAAGGGGAAAACCTCCTGGATGAAGACCCTTCCAAAGTATACAAATTGATTTCACTGAAATGTCCAAGGTTGGAAAACTTAAGTACCTATTAGTAATTGTTAATCATCTTACTGGGTGGATGGAGGCATACTCAACAACAGTTACAACAGAATCTGTAATAAAAATACTTTTGGGGGGCCACTGCCTTGCTAAAGTCTGGTGTGGCCATGTACTCTTTGAGCCATGGCTGTCACCATGCTTCCTCGCTTTGGTCCCCCTCCCCACCTTGAGGAGATGAATCTTCTTTCTTCCTTCTCTTTCTCTAACTTACTTTTAAATAAACTTTTCTTTCTTAACCTTTTTGTGTGTCACAATTCTTTGCAAATTACTCGGATCTCTGATTCCCAGCAAGCACCTCCGGTTTCCCAGCCCCGGCAGTGCTGCATGCCTCCCGCCTCGTCTCTCGACCCTCACCTGGTTCATCCGTACCCTAACATTTTTGGCGGTCCCACTGAGAATCTGTGTTTCTTATTTCCTAACTGGTGACCCTCTGTGGACTGTGTTGGAACCTGGTGGCAATTGAAGGCTCTGGCTGAGGCTCCACTTCAGTGTGCTGAAAGGCTCCAGGGAAAGATATCAAACCGCTGTGGCCCGACTGGGTGAGGGTCTAAGGTTAACTCTTTGCTTCCTTCTAGCCAAGATTTCTGAGTTTCCACATGGACCGAGCTGGATCTCGGAGAACAACTGATGGTCTTAGGGCTACTCCCTAAGGAGGCAAGAAGGTCCCTGAAGGAAAGTTCGGACCGCCAGCACCCATAAGGGTGGGAGACAAAGTGCTTGGTTTTCTTTACTCCTTTCCTCTCTGGCTGGTGAAGTAACTCCATGAAGGACCTTGAAACTCTAACAGCTATGGTACACCTTTCTGCGCTTTTGGTGAGTCATCCCCTTTTTTTTCATCCACACACACATATTTGAATGCACGCTCTTGGACCGCCCTTTGTTTGGATGACTTTCTGGGTCTCTCGGGTTTCCG